AAATAGAAGTAAATTTGGAATGATATCAATAGTGTTCTACTGATGAGTTTTCATTTCTTTCCTATTTCATTATTTTAAAAATAAAGACAGAAGCAGTTTGTTTTCTTAGGTGAAAAGGAATTGAGGATTGTGATCATATACTGAAGAGAAAGGCTGGACAGTGAAGCTCCTCGTCTCGATGGCCTCATTGTACTCCAGACATGAGACAGCAGGTTCCTGCACTGAAAGCCTCAAAGAGGCCAAGGGTCTGGAGGAGACACAGTGCAGAGTTTGAGGAAACCAGGGGGAGTGTGGTCCAGCTGCAGGGGCCTAGATTTGAAGCATCCCAGTAACTCCTGCCTACGGAAGGATTTTCTGCTCACCTAGGCCTGATTTTAATTGTGTTAAATGTTTCCTTATTATGTCTTATGTTTGTGCTTAAATGTATGTATATTTAGTGGAATAAGATGATCAGATTGGACACAAATCATGATTCCAGATTTCTGTTGACTTCAGCTTCCATCTATGTGATTTCTGCAAAGTCTCTGCTATAACTCAAGGTTCTCATTTGCAAGAGAGCTTTCCTTATATGCAGATCTGAAAAATGTCTTTACTGGAAACAAGTGTGATCATAATTAGAGTTTTCCTGTTTTATGATTTCTGTATGGTAGAAAAAGTGTGTACAAATTGTAAAACTAAATCCTTGGTCCACTTTGAAGAATATGAATTTTTCATAATTATCAAAAACATGTGATTATCTCAGTTATGAATAATAAAGACATTTTTCTACCACCTACAAATAAAAACATTGTTACTTGGAGAGAGGGAGTAATGCTAGAACTCCAAGCATTAATCTTAAAACAATCTTATTTCAGACGTCTTTAAAACTTAGTTCTTATATTAAGTCAATTTACTCTCTCTCCCAAATTTTTATATCCTTTTAAGGCAAAAAACCAGAGAAAACATGTCCTTTCAATTGTCGGTTTTTTTCCCCACTGAAGTATTTTACAGCTTAATTTTTAATATAAGTCTCAAAAATAGAATTCTCCATTGTTAACCTTCAAATTTTAGTTCACCCAATTTAGGTGTTTCAGTTGAGCCTGCGTTAATTATTCAAAATAATTAACTATAATAATTTAATTTATAAATACATGCAGTTGGCTTTTTACCTTGTTTTTCTTTTTCTTTTTTTTTTTTTTTTTTTAATTTTTTTCCTTTTTCTGCGCAAAGCCCCCCGGTACATAGTTGTATGTTTTTAGTTGTGGGTCCTTCTAGTTGTGGCATGTGGGACGCTGCCTCAGCGTGGTTTGATGAGCAGTGCCATGTCCGCGCCCAGGATTTGAACTGACGAAACACTGGGCCGCCTGCAGCGGAGTGCATGAACTTAACCACTTGGCCACGGGCCCAGCCCCTACCTTGTTTTTCTTATACATATCTAGTACTTGGCTATAAAAATCTAAATATTAAATTGTTTTATTTTTGTCTTAGAACTTTTCGTTGTATATAATCTAATTCTTAATTACCAGATTAAAACTCTTCACAAGCCATCCTACAGTTAAGTTGAATTAGTGATTTTTCTAAATAGAGGAGTTTGAGTCAGAATTCAGACAGGGAATTTAGGGCAATTTTTCTTTTTTTAACTGAATTTATACTGTGTTCTAACCAGGGAGTCTCAGGGGATAAAGTTTTTTCCATTGTCATTTTGGCAAGTACTCAGAAATAAGCCAGTTTCCACAAGGTAAGAGGTTCCATTTGGTAATAGTGCTATTTCCACGTGTAAGTAGTGACTCGTGCGGAGCCGAGGAGTCGAAAGAAAGATTTCTTGGACTCTCAAGATCTGGCGGTAGTGCTCTTTTTATTTAGAGAATAGTGTGGAATAGCATGGGGACAGGACCCATGGGCAGTCAGAGCTCCTGCTGCTGCCCTGAGTTGAGGGTTAGGGCTAATTTTATAAGGCATGGGTACGTGACTTATTTTTACTGGAAAAAGAAAAGATGATGTAAAAAGTCATTAAATTATTTCAGTGCAGATGGGGTCTGGTTATTGTGTGGTCATATAACTTTTAGATAAGAATCTGGCCATATCGATCGACATGTAGGTGAGGATGCCCTGGGCTTCCCTCCCTGGGGCAGCCCTAATTCATACCATAAAAAAAATCCACCTGGTCACCTAGGGCTTCTCTAGCTGGGGCAGCCTTAGTCCATATCAGTGACTGTGTTCTTACTTCTCAGTAGGTTTGGGGAATTACAAGTAGTTTGATATGGCTGAGCCCGTACATCCCAGTAAGCTAGTAAAATGATCAAAAATGGAGTATGGGAAGGTTAGAAAACTCATGGCCTGTCTACATTCACAGGGGGAAGTGAAGAGGATAGGACATTAAGGGCAGAGGGTGGGTTGGTGAGAAGAGAGGGAGATTGAGTGGTCCTTCATGTGGGTGGGCCATGCTGCCTATGCACTGTGTGAGGTGGCAGTGACACAGGCAGCCAGGACTGGTGCTGCCTGGCTTTGTACTCCTGCTCCATGGTGGACCAGCTTGTGACCTTGGGGAGGACTCCAGCCTTTGGCTCTGTTATCCCAGCTTCCCTTACAGGAGGTTGGTGTATGTTGAGGATCAAGGGTGATAACGGGTCTGAAAGAGCCCTGCAGGTAAGAAACCTCTGTGAAAACAGGGCTCAAGGTCAGCTCCATTGAATTGGAAACCCAGGCCCACGCAGCATACTCCACAGGGGCTCGTTTCCTTCTCCCTCTTGTTTTGGCTTTTCCCCTATCTCTTTGCAGCATGAGCCCTTTCCAGAAATGTTATGTGGTCACATCAAGATGAAATTAGCAAGTTTACAAACTTGGTAGACACTGGCAAAATGTTAAGTTTCTGCTTCCTGGTGGCACTTATAGAGGTACTCAGAGTCACCTAAGCAACATGTCTCCAAACCCCCCTGTAAAGGCAGTTATTGCTTGGTGCTTTCTTAAAAGTTGCTCTTCTTGGGTTTGGGCCATGGGCCATGTTGGAGTCTGGAGTTTGGGTCTCTCTTCATTGTGGTTTTCCTCATCTTAGATACCTTATGTTTAAACAACATTATTACTGGATTTTGGTGTTTCTGCTTGAGCCCTAAACATCTTAACAAAATTCAAATGAATCTGTCTCAGAGACAGCCTCCATCCTTTGGATCCACCTCAGAAAACACGCCTCTTTTTCCTCAGAGTGCAGTCACCCGTTTAGGAAAGGCATATGTGGCTATGCCCAAAGCCTGTGAGCGCCAACAAGTTGGAGGGGCAGTGGCAGGGGCAGGAAGAAGTCTGCCTTCACACGGATCGTGGCAGCCTCTGTGGCCCAGAGCTGTGTGCCAGTGGACTTGTCATTTCTAGGATTTTCTTTTTTTTTTTGAGGAAGATTAGCCCTGAGCTAACTACTGCCAACCTCCTCTTTTTGCTGAGGAAGACTGGCCCTGAGCTAACATCCATGCCCATCTTTCTCTGCTTTATACGTGGGATGCCTACCACAGCATGGCTTTTGCCAAGCGGTGCCATGTCCACACCCGGGATCTGAACCGGTAAAACCCGGGCCGCCTAGAAGTGGAATGTGTGAATTTAACCGCTGTGCCACTAGGCCAGCCCCTAAAGAGTTAATTTTTCCTTTTTCTCCCCAAAGCCCCCCAGTACATAGTTGTGTATCTTCAGTTGTGGGTTCTTCCAGTTGTGGCATGCCGCCTCTGCAGGGCTTGATGGCGGTGCCATGTCCACGCCCAGGATCCAAACCAGCGAAACCCTGGGCCACTGAAGTGGAGCACTCAAACTTAACCACTCGGCCACGGGGCTGGCCCCACATTTCTGGGATTCTTGGTCACTCCAGGCCAGCAATCAGCTTGATAGACCAGTAGCTTTAGCAGAAGACCCTGTTTTTCCAAATGCATGAAACCCTAAAATGTATCAGATTAAAAGTTTTTTATAGGTATAAATGTATTTTGTAAGTTGAGATTTATAAGAAATACTTAAAAAGGCAATGGTGGGGGGACAGTTAACTGTTAGAATGGGCAGAAAAAATATGAATGACAGATGAGGTCTTGTGTTAGCCCCAACATCTAGCTCATTTTTTAATGTACTTTGTTGCAAGTGGTGATAGGTGTCATTTAGCCTTTACTTTGCCATTTTGAGAAGTCTTCAGTCAGACACACGTGGCAAAAGAAGCTTCATTCCAGGGAAGGTCTGCATGAAAAGCAGCTAGCAGGGCAGCACAGGTTAATGCGGCAGTGGCACATTCGAATGTGCTGTTAGAACTTATTTTACAAAATACAAGTTTAAAAAATTCAAGTCCCAATTAGACATTTGTTGGACCCTTAAAGCACCTCCCTAGACCTCTATTGATCTCCAGAACAATTTGAAAACGACTTCCAAAATAAAATTCCTGCTTTCCCCTTGATGAACAGAGCAGCCCTTGACTAGTGCCTGTCCTCTGGCAGTAGATAGAATTCCTACCACCTTGCAGTTGAAGCTAGACCCGAAAAGATGCTTGTAGCTGGGCTTCTTTCCCCCAACTGCCCCACAGATGAGGTGGGGAATGGGCAACTCAGGGAGATGTTATTGCTGCTCAGGGGAGGGGGCATGGTCAGTGAGGTCTCGGTGACAGCAGTTCCATCCCATGTAAATTGGAGTGGAGACAGGTTTTTTAATTCGCTTTTCTTGTGTGAGTTGGCTTGAACCGTTCTCAGAAAGTCAAGTGTTCATTTCTATTCTCTTGGAGTTGGTAGCCTGTATGGTGAGAAAAAAGGTTGCTTTTGTGCTCAGAAGTTGCTTTACTTGACACACATTCTCACCGGCTGAGGAGAAGCACTCTGGGCTTATTCGTAGCATGTTGTGTCTTTGGCACTGCTTGATTTTAGGTCTAGGCACTGAAAAAAAATGAGCGAGTCCTAAAAAAAATGTATAGGTTCTTTGGATAGCACAGTGTGTGTGATTTAATGTAAACTTTCTTTTTCTCTAGTTTGCAGAGAAAATGCTGACTCTGTCTTCTTTCTCCATCCTTACAGGTTGGTGACATTGTGAAAGTCACAAGGATGAATATAAATGGCCAGTGGGAAGGCGAAGTGAATGGGCGCAAAGGGCTTTTCCCCTTTACACACGTCAAAATCATTGACCCTCAAAACCCGGATGAAAATGAGTGATTGCTGTTGCCCTGTTTCCTGCTGCTTCGTTGTTCTGCCTGTCATAGTCTCCTTTGAAGTGGGAAAGCATTTTCTCATAGGCAAGTTACACTGCGTTGCTGGCGTCCAGCTTTCTGCAGACTGACGGTCTCTCATACACATTTGGAATGCACACAGTGGCTGCCTCGGCATTTGTATCATAGTCGTATTGTCAAAGAATAGCTGATTTTAGAGTTCTTTTGGATCATAAACTGGAAATACTAGTGGAAGCACACAAGTGGAGAGAAGTTGACGAGGAAAGGGTCTTCCTTCTCATCACTGCCCTGTTTGTACTTGTGACTGATTCTGTCATGTTCGTCGGAGAAAACTTGAGGCCATGGCGAGACATTGCACGTTGCTGTTCCACAAAGCAGTGGCTCTGTCACCATTTTGTTTTTCCTTTGAGGAACAGAGGAAAGGAACCTTAAAGACAGGGAATTCTGTTTTAACTCCCCAAATCTGGCTTTTGTTTTGGTTTGGTTTTGGAAGATTTAACTAATAAGAATTGTGTGTTCTGAACAGATTTTTAAGTGGCAGGTTGGATTTTTGTGATAATACAAGGAATGACACGTGCCTCTGGGCTTCTAAACTGAAGCTTCTGTAACTAAAGGAATATGAAAAAAAGCAGCCCCGAAGTGGAGGCCTTTATCGTCCATGTCGCCAGTAGTACCTTGTGTATAGCAGGTGTGGTGTGCCAAGCCGTGTGCACAGCCTCTTGGATTACATCGTCCCCAGAAGCATGAGAGTGGTGGGTGACTTGGGAAACCTTTGCTTGCCTTGTTTGCCAGGGACAGGAGCAGCGGGGGGAGCACTTGGCCGCTTTTCTGTCCAATGTTGCAGTGAATATACCTTTAGGGTGTAGGTGTAAAAAGCTTGTTCATAGAATCATTGAATTCGTGAGGAATGAATCTTTGAACTCCACTCGCTGCAGCCCAGTCCTCCCTGCCCCAGCCTCACCAGGCGGCCAGAGAAGGAAGGTGCTGCTGATGCCGCTTCCACAGTCTGTGTCCCTGATGCTCCCAAGCAAAGCAAATGCACGCTCTGGAAATTGGGTGATACATTTGATGTCTAATGTTTTTCCTGACTTGGGAGAACCATTAACCAGTTTACCATTAACCATTTACCAATTGAATGTTAAAATTTCCCTGTTAGCTAAAAGAGGTGTGTTCATAGAAGCTGCCTGGTGCAATTTGTGACCAATCCCTCATCTGCTGGATAGCAGACTAGAATTCTGGAACCTTCATGCAGTTCAGTCTGCTTTCCCCCAGACACTAGTGAAGACAGGCCTCCGCTCAGAATGACTATAACAGACCTAGAAATGTAGCAGCAACCTAATGAGTAACTCTGTCCTTTACTGAGCATCTGTTCTATGTGGCCCTGTCTCCCGAGGGGCTTAGGTTTTGAGGGTTAGAGCAATATATTCTGGTGACAGAACCAAACAACTGTTTTTCAATTTCTCTTTAAACCAGTGTTCCATATTAAAGAATCTTGAGAGTGTTCCTTTGACAAAGTGAATGGTCCGTTGGAAACATCACTGTGGCTGCCCTTCTGTGGTTTTCCTAAAAAAGGCTTAGTGATCAGCCCTTCATACTCAGTGAGAACTGTGCCCACCTCCTGCTCCAAAGGTGCCTGTTGATCACAGTTGCCTCTTGTTCTGAGTTTAGGCCCAGCCTGGTGCCCACAAGAAGTGGCACGTGTGGCAGGATCCCCACACCCTGCCTGGCAACGCTTGCCTGGCAGCTAGTGACCCAACCCCTGAGGGGGTGTCTAGCAGAGGTGGAATATGTGCCTCTTTCAAAGAGGGCACAAACCCTAAGGTCTTTTTAAACCAAATTTAGCTGAAAGGCTTGTCACCTTTTGATGACAGTAGTTAGCATAGAGCACGGGAGGTATATGGCCATTTTGGAAAGCAGTTTCCTTTCACCGTGTCTACTAACCAGTATAGCAAGACCTCCCTCAGGTGGAGCACTTCAGAGTCAGAACACCCCGCAAACCTAGGTTTGGCTTCATCCTAAGTCTGCTTATCTCTTAAGCCCATGTGCATGTCTCCATGTTTATGGGCTCCAGGTTCGGAACCCAAAAGAAGGTGAGTCTGAGTTCTAAACTCTCAAGATAGGTGCCAAAGGTAGTACCTTTCTGACTTTGAACCACATTCGTTTTTTAATCAGGCAGGGAAGTTCTCTTTTTCACACTAAATATACAAAAAAACCCCACACCCCCACTTCGGCTTTGTGCCCAGTGGTCTGGGGAGACAACTTCAGAAAGCAATGCAGATTTTCCCGAGGAGCTGCCTTCACTCCTCACGGGTTTTGCTTTTAGGATTGTTCATGACTGCTATGTGCTCTGCTCTACTGTGTGTCGTTTAAAAAAATATTTGGATGTTAAATTAACACTTAGGAAGTGAACAAAGTCCGTACTGAAGGGCATTGAGAGTTTGATTCAAAACTTACTTATCCCAAGAAGGCCCTCCAACACAGGAGGCGTCCTTGTCATTTCTGTGCGGGGTAGTACCACCTGATGACTTAGTTAACGAAGAGGAGGACGCATTGACTGGCTGCCATTGGACGACTTTGGTCACCCAGATGAGACACCTTCTATGCTCCTGGTTGGAGAACAAAGGAGGGAAGGGCAGCTGCTCCGTCTTTGGAGCTCAGCATCCCTGGAAGTGCGCTCACCTTCTCCTACAGCTGTTTACAGACAAGGCGGGCCCGGACAGACGGCCACTGCTCTTGCAATGTTTGCTCAGAGGAACGGGAACATTTTACTTTTGAAAAGGGATGATGTGTTTTTGTGCCAGGTGTTTATAATTTAATCCTTTAATACTACGTTCATTAACCTCTTAAAATGAGTGAATTCTTGATTGATTTAACACAGTACCTAAGACTAATGCTTTCTGTGGACACCACTGAGCTCTGCCTCAAACTCCATCCACCCTCTGGGACAAGAGACCTACGTCCCTGGTAACTTCTGTCAGCATGGACACTGACCTGGTTGTATATTCTAAAAGAGTAAAAGGACATTTCTCTGAGACAGGGTCGTTGTCTCTACAGGAGGAACAGTGGCCTTGCTTCTAGACGGTCTTCACTGTGTGTTTTAAACCACCACCACCACAAAACTCTCTTGACCTGTAACTTAAAGATCATAAACTTCAGGCAATAATATTTTCTGTGTAAGCTTTTAAAATTATTTTTGGGGATCATAGCTTGTTTTATTTTGTGCTATAAAATTAACAGTATTAAATGACTTATATTCTTAGAATACATTGAGTGTCTTTTCTTAACAGATTAGTGCCTTTTTATTTTTGTATTCCATTTTACGTTACTGGTCCCAGCATCAGAACCCTTGTTTCCATGGCCTGTTTGTACATTGTCTCAATAAAACTTGCATCAGCCGGTGGCGACGGCGGCTTTGGTGTTTCGGTGTCTCCTCAGTGGTGCCTGGAGGCGCTCTGCCCCCCCAGCAGTTAAGCATCTGGTGAAACACTTGGTGCTTCTCCAAGGATTCGACCTGCCATTCAGCCGTGCTACTGCTGACCACAAAATAGAATGGGATCCTGCACTGGCCCTTCCCCACACTTGGGGCCTCCCTACAAAAGAGAAGCAGTTGGTTCCAGGTGTGCGAGCACAGCGGGTGCTGTAGGGGGGGCTGGTGCTCAGTCTTGGCCTTCTGAGGATGAGGCAATGGTTGCCACACTTTGCACCACCAAGGAAAACTTGGATGTTTTCCCTTCTAGGCACCCATATCTGAAGGCTTCTATTAAATTGTTAAATATTTGTTCAACACGAGCTAGCCAGGGTTGAATGGTTTCAAGTGGAAGTCATGGAAAATGAGCAGCCTCTTCCCAGGTCAGGGTGCATCTGTCTGGCTTTCTTAAATCCTTTTCTGTTCCTGTCTGTATCTGGCCCTCCTGATGAACTCTGGGGACCTTCAGGTGGACACCTTGAGGTGTTTGGGGCCCACAGACGTCCCCTCAGCCAGAGCCCTGTTCCCACTCCTATTTGTGTGTGTATTGAGACGTCCAGATTGCCTTGTAAAACCTCCAGAAATGAGTTTTGGGAAGTGACACCAATCCATATTTATACAGAACTGTGCTGCTAAAATGTACTCCCTGGCTCTACTTTCAGGATTCTGCAGAATTTAAGAGAGAATTTTGTCTTGAATGGGAATATCAAAACTGTCATCATTGTAAAATAAACAATGCACCAGACACCTTTGAAAAATATTTTCTGTTTGAAAAGATGTCTTTTGGTCGGCAATGCTGGGCTAGGTTCCTCCGTGGCAGGGAAACGCTTGGAAATGGGCCCAGGTGTCGAGGGTTGCCTCTCCACCTGCCTCCCACTGCTAGTTTAGCGTTAGTGCTCGCCCACGTGAAACCTCACCTCGCATCAAAGCCTGTGACACTGCCGGGCTTTTCATGGGGGCTCCTCCCCGGCCCGTCTTTCTGGGAGGCTCTTCTCTAGCCGAGTCAGTGGTCCCCAGGCCCCTCTGAAAACCTGACCCTGCTCTTGCAGTCTTCCGTGCACACGCTGGTTCCCTGGGTCGTTCGCAGCCAGAGCTGGAGCACAGGAAAAGCCCTGGCCTGCCCTGGAAAGCTCCCGGAGCAGATGGTGATGATGGCTCCGACAGTGGGGGGCGCTGTGGAGCCCAGGGCGGGTTCAGGAAGGCTTCCGGGCTGCCTAGGGGAGGGGAAATAATGGTAATCCAGGCCAAGGGAGCAGCTCAGGGCTGGAGCACGCCCGGCTTTATTTTAGCCCCTGTTCCCTTGCTGAATCGTGAGGCCCCAGGTGACCTGGCTTTCCTCGACCCCTCTGGTCTCATCGACACCGCTGGCCCTCCATCCGCGCTGCACAGCGGAGACCCTGGGGTCCCACCCTAGGTTCTGCTTTCATGAATCTGGGCGCTGGAGTTTTAAAAAAAATTCTCCAGCCAAATATGCAGCCAAGTTTGAGAACCACTGTGCCAGCGAACCCCTTCTCTCCTGCGCCTCTGGCTCTCGGAAACCCTCCGGCCAAGGGGCTGTGCTCCACCTTCTGCCGCGTGACGTGAGAGCCGAGCCGGGTCCGCCAGGGCGCGGACAGAGCTGGCGGGAGGATCGAAGGCGCGGGCCCGCATCCTCCCTGCTTCGCCTTTATGCGAGGGGGCGGGGGCGCCGTCGGCGGGGCAGCGCGCACGCACCTGGTGCTCCGCGGCGTCCTCAGGGTCGGGACCCCGCCCCTACTACCCACGCCGAGCTGCAGCCCTCCGTCCCCCGCCATGGGGCCGAGGAGGGGGCGCACCAGGGCTGAGTCGGGGGTAGGCGGACATCTCACGGGGAGGGAGGACCTGGCGGGGGAGAGGTGGAGGACGGAGAGCTCTGGGGCCCCCGGAGGCTCCCTTCCAGCCCTCGGGTCCCGGAAAGGGCTTGACCCTTCCCCGACGTTCTCCGGAGCTCAAGGCTCCCGGCGTCCGCAGAAGGGCCGGACCGGGTGAGACCCCCTTCGCGGGGCGGGGGCCCAGCGGCTGCAGAGGGCGGGGGCGGTGGGTCCGGCGGCCACGCCCGCTGGGCAGCGCCCGCACTTCCGACGCCTGCGCCTGGTCTGCCGCCCAGGGCGGAGCGGGGTCCGGAGCGGGAGGCAGGGAGACGGGGGGGCTCTGGGGCTGTCAGCGCTGCCCTTCTGCGCACGGCTCTGCCCTCCCAGGGGTTTCGGCCCTAAGTGACCTGCGCCCTTGTGGCTCCGGAGGGGAGGGGCGGGAGCGTCCCAGTTCTGCCATCGCTAAGATGGGGGCGGGCGCCGCTCAGGAGGAGGGCTGGAGCGTTTGGCTAAAGCGGCGGCCCAGGGAGGACAGCCACACCCACCCGCCGAGAGAGCCCTGGGGAACCCTTTGTTCAGGCTAAGGAATCTGAGGAAGGGGGTCGGGAAGGGGAAGTCCTCTGAGAGACGGCGGCCGGAGATGCCCAGCAGCCAAGTCTGGGACAGAGGGAGTAGGCGACATGTCCAGTAACTGCGTCGAGGGCGAGCTCCAAGAGGAGTAGGGAGCTGGGCAGGGCTGCGCCAGGCCGGGTGACCAAAGGAGGGGGACCCAAGCCCTTCCCGAGTGGCGGTTTGCAGCCTACCTGAGCTCACCAAGACAGCTCTGAGGAGTTTGGGGAATTAGGCTTTGGCATCGGAGGTGGAAGAAAAACATCCATAGGATGCAGCATTCAAAAGACGGGCATCCCATGAAACGTCTCCCTCCCTGTCCATTCCACGCCCCGTCTCCCTGCCTTGAGCTGTATATGTTATGTATGTATCTTTCCAGAGTTATTCTATAACATACAAGCAAGTATATCTGTAAATATTCTTTTCAGTGTTTTCCCTACAGAAAGGTAACATAGATGACTTACTTTTCCGCACCTTGCTTTATTCCCCCTATCTGTTTTAGAGATTGTTGTAAATCAACATATTGAGTCTTTGTTCTTTTTTGTCGCTGTATAGTATTCCACGAGGTGGATGTACTGTCATTCATTTAATGATCCAGTACTGATGGACAAGTAGGTCCTTTCTAACCTTAGGTAATCACGTGCATTAAAAGTGAGTTCCTTCCAGTGGCATTGCTGGGTCAAAGGCTCTGGGCGTTTGTGATTTTGAGAGCTGTTGCCAAATTGCCTTCTTTAGGGGCCGGCCTGGTGGTGCAGCAGTTAAGTGAGCACATTCCACTTCCGGGGCCTGGAGTTCTCAGGTTCGGATCCCAGGTGTAGACATGGCACTACTTGGCAAGCCATGCTGTGGTAGGCGTCCCACATAGAAAGTAGAGGAAGATGGGCATGGATGTTAGCTCAGGGCCAGTCTTCCTCAGCAAAAAGAGGAGGATTGGCAGCAGATGTTAGCTCAGGGCTAATCTTCCTCAAAAAAAAAAAAAATCAAATTGCCTTCTTTAGGGATTGCCTCAATTTACACTTTCACCAGCAATGTATAAGAAAACATTTATAACATTTTTACAAACCCTCTGTAGACACCTTTGTTTTTGCTGAGGAAGATTTTCCCTGAGTTAGCATCCATTGCCAATCTCCCTCTTTTTTGCTTGAGGAAGATTTGCCCTGAGCTAACATCTGTGCCAGTCTTCCTCTATTGTTTTTGTACGTGGGTTGCTGCCACAGCATGGCCACCAAGGAATGGTGTAGGTCCGTGCCTGGGAACTGAACCCGGGCCACCGAAGCGGAGCGCACCAAATTTAACCATTAGGCCACAGGGCTGACCTATAGATGCCTTTTTTATGGCTGAACAATATTCCATTATGTGGCTGAGGCAGCTTATACTAGCCCATCTGTCACTGAGGGTGTGGAAGTTATTGCCAATCTTTTGATGATAAAAAGTCCTCAAGTCTAAGTAAGGGCTGCATGGGAGGGCCCACCTTCCAGCCCTTGGGCTGCTTCTGGCCCAGTCCTTGCTCCAGGCACTTCCTGACCTCCTGGTTCCCCTGCCCCCTACCAGTCTAATGCCAGCCTAAGTTGCTGATGTCTTTTTCCTAAAGATGCATGCAATGAAAAACCCTAACCCAGCTCCTCCCTGGCCCGTGACACACCTCCACGTCATACCCCTGCCCAGAACCCAGCACTCAGACCAGACTGGACTGGCATTCTCTGAGTTCCCCGGAATTTGGCACCTTCCCGCCTTGCCTGTGCCCACACTTCCTTCTGCCTAGATGCCCTTCTCCTCTGTGACCTCCTATGGGCTTGTCTGTCCTCAGCTCTTGCCACCTCCTGGTAAAGCCTTCCTGACCTTTCCCTCCCACTGTGAGGACTGGAATTAGCACTAGTCACTTCAGAGCCTGGGAACAGGATGTTGCTGGCAGCAAGCCAACAACTTGGGGAGGGCCAAGGGGAGGCTGAAGAGCTTGGTAGGAGCTGGAGCAGAGTCAGAAAGCTCCAGAGAACCCAGCTGGGGACATGGTTGTCAGGCTCTGTAGACCGACCTGGGCTTGGGGGAGGCTGGGCTGCAGTAGCCAGAGCAAGGTAGGGAGTCAGGAATAAGGCCGGGGATGGGGGCTTGGCCCAGGCTCTCTCACCTGGGGATCCCCCAACCTCTGCTTCCATATGAATAAATCACTGTGTAGCTCTGGGCACTACTTGCACCCATCTTGCCCCTCAATACAGCTGGCTCAGGTGTTGGTTGTGCTGTGTCAGCCTCCCAACATTTCCCGGGGTTGGTTAGTTAAACTGAGCTCTCCCCTTCTGGAAATCTGCCTCACTGCAGCAGGAGAGAGTCCCCTACTCTCAACCCCTGCCCTCAGAACCCCAAAGCTCAGGGAGGGCCCTGCTGATCCTCAGACTGGCCTTCAGGGGGCGCCAGTGTCAACCCCAATGTTAGATATTGACCTTATCTTACTTTCTTACCTGAAAAAGGACCATCCTGTGCAAGCTGGCTTGGAGACCCTAGGCTGAGGGGAGTGGGGAACAGGGGAAACTGACAGGAGGGGGCAGATGTAAGGAGGACAGGGACAGGCTTGCTGTGTGGTTGGGGTGTTCCAGGGTGGGGTCGGAGGGCAGGGGATCACCCTCCTCACCTGCATCTCAGATCTCAGCAACACCCTCCCTGCCGTTGGGGTGTCTGCCAGCTCTGGGACTCTCACCCACCCCAGGTTGCCTCACTACATCTCAACCTGGGGCTCAGTTTCCCTGTTTGCTATCACCCCGTTGTCAAAGCTGGCAGGGTGGATGCTGTCTCCTTGCCAGAATCATCCTCGGAACAAGATCAGGACCTCAGGCTGCTGAAGCCTCAGAGGCTCCTGGGTATCCCTGATCCCCCTGTCCACTACCCCCGAGTCTGGGGGCCCTCTGTGAGAGGCAGCACTTTCAGCTACCTTCGCTTTTAGCTTTTGCTCTGTGGAGATCTTGCAATTTCTGCCCCACTATGAGGCAGCCAGAGCCTTGAGCCCAGTCCCCAGGGCTAAGGGTCCCATGACGGACTCACCCCATGTCGGGGGCTGCACTCCCCCCATGTCAGGGCATCTCCATACAGCCCCCAGGCTGACCTGTGGCCCCCCAGTCTCACTGCTGGCAACCCAAGCTCAGCAGCCCCCACCCCACATCCTGAGCTACCTCTGTGTCCCATGCCTGACTCTGCACCTGTCATGGTGCCCTGCAGGCAGCCCCAGGGGGAGGGCACTGCAGTTACCCCCATGTGTCCCAGGGAACCTGGGACAGAAGAGTTCACTGACTGCAGGACTCCAACTCTCCATGGACACCCTGTGGCCGAGCCAGGCAGGGCTCTTCCCTCCCACTCCCACGCCTCCACCTCATAGCCCAGCAGCATGGAGCCAGTCTTCCAGAGTTCAAGGCTCTTCTCTGCCACTCACCAGCTGTATGCCCTTGCAGTCTCTAACTTCTCTGGACCTCAGTTTCTCCATCTGAAAATGGAGGTGATACAGAGCCAGCCCTGATGACCTAGTGGTTAAAGTTCAGCGCTCACCACTTTCGCAGCCTGGGTTCATTTCCCAGTCACAGAACCACACCACCTGTCTGTCAGCAGCCATGCTGCGGTGGCAGCTCACATAGAAGAACTAGAACCACTCACAACTATGCAGTGGGGCTTTGGGGAGAAAAAACAAACACGAAGGTGATACAAAAAGAACCTTGCTCCTGAGGCTGTTGTGAAGATTAAAGGGATAAACACATGTGAAGCCACAGCCATGGTTATTTATGGGGCACACTGTTGTCCTGGCTAGGGGAGTTGGGGGTGGGGTTAACACGTGTGTGGAATGGGAGCAGACTTGTTGGAGGCCAACGGCACCGCCCGAGCAACGCCATCTGCCCAGTAATGGGGCCTCTCCTGTGGCAGGGGCAACAATCAAACTGTGGGAACCACACATGGCCACAGAGGAAGGGCCTGAGCAGAGCCACACGTCCCCTCCAGGCCTGGGCCCCATGCCCACAGGCATGAGTGTGACCCATGCAGGCCCTGGTCCTGCCCCTGGGTGAGACTCAGCCTCCCTGAGCTTCGCCATCTATAAAACGAGGGGGGAGTTGTGCTTGCCCCCCTGGGTGGGGTGGGTCATAAATAAAGATACCCTTGGAAGGCTGTATCAGCCTGGCACAGGGGACTGTTACTGCTGTCGTTATTGTCATTCCTACAGGAGGAAAGCGAGGTCCAGAAAGGGATAAGATGGCAAAAAAAGAGGACCCAACATGAGCCACAAAAAGAGCAATAATAGGACAGCAGAGTTGGTGGGCCCACATATGTTTAATGATAGATGTGACATCACTTCCCTGGAGTGTGTCATTCATGCATTTCCCACATAGTCACTGAGTTCCAGTTTGCTAGACGGACAAGCTCTACCTGACCACAACGCAAAGATCTGGACAGTCAGGACAATAAAACATTGGAGCCAGAATATCCAGGCAGGATGGAGTCTGGGAAGGCTGGTCAGGGGGCGCTTCCCAGGGTGCACCATGATTTATGGGGACTCAAGTTCTCCTGGTATAATGGCAGATGGGAAAGAGAAAATGTAATAAAATATAACTTAAAATAGATCGTATTGTGTTGGGAGGGGGGGGGGAGGGAGCTTCAGGAGACCAACAGCCAAGCGAGTCAAGCTACCAGTGGGGCAGTCGGAAGTGGCTTGGGTTTTATATTTCCTGGAGAGGTTTCGGGCGGTTCAACTTCCTCCACGCTGCCCACGGATGGTGCGAGGAAAGGAAAAATTCCGCCCGGTGCGCAGCGCCCCTCCTGGGCGCCCCTCGTGGGCGCCCCTCGTGGGTCGTGAGCATCCCCGGGGGCCAAGATCCCGCCGGGGCGTCCACACCCAGGAGGGACCCTGGCTGCCTCCCCCGCCCCGCGACTCGTGACCCGCATCCAAACTCCGAGGCCCCCGGCCGGACCCCTGACCCCGGGCCGCCCCACCTGCCCGCCGTGGGGCTGGGCGCCGCGGGATCCCGGCCGCAGTGTCTCCGCAGCGCCGGCCCCGCCCCGCTCGCTCCTCCCCGCCCCCGCGGCCGCGGCCCCGGCCCCGAGCGGCTCCAGAGCCCAGGCCCGCGCCGAGCCCAGGTGAGCGCCCGCCCGGTCCCCGGTTCCCCACCCCGCCACCCCGGCTCGGCCGCCGGTCCCGGCCCCGCCGCCTCTGCGCCCGGAGCCGGTGCGCGCGCGCTCGGCTCTCGCACCCGGGGCCGGGGTGTTGGGGCTGGGGTCGGCAGCCGGGAGGTAGAAGAGCCGGGGCTGGAGAGCCCCTTCCTTCTCCCCTCCCCCGCCGTGTCCTGCCGCTCGCCACGGGACCCTGCTGTGTGCCAGTCCCCTTCCTGGGACGCCTGGTGTGGTGGGGGACCTGGACAAGCCGGGAAGGCTGCTGGCACCGGCTTCCTAGACAGAGCCAACTGCACGTGCAGAGGCAGGGAGAGTGCGCAGGAGGTTTGCGCCTGAGCCCGAGGGGAGAAGGGGAGGGCCGATGGCCCCCTCAACTGGAACGCCGGGCTGAGGAGCTCGGATGCCATCCGGAGGAAGGCTGGAAGCCACTGAGGGTCCCAGCTGGGCGGCGGCCTGCGGGGCGAGGGGGCGGGGGGGGGGAGGGGGGGAATGGGATCCTCGATGGGGGGCGCCAGGCGGAGGAGTCGGGGAGGCTTCCGCCCGGCCTGCACCAGCTAGGGGGGTGGCCGGTGAATCGGGACACAGGCTTCTGGTGGGTAGTTAGCACTTGGGCACTGTTAGAACTTTTTGGCATTGGGCAGCTTGTGGTCAAGGGACAGCACTCTGCAAAAACTTGGGGGCCCCTCCTGCCGTGCCCCTCCTGCCTTGCCGCTAGCAAGGACCTTTGCCTTTCAGTAGGGGTGTCTGGGTCTGCAGGATGCAGGAGGGCTCCAAGCCAGCCTGCACACAGTAGGCCTGGAGAAGGCTCTTTCCCCAGCAAATCTCTTTCCAGGCCCAAGACGGTAAAATACTGGGGCACCTGGGAAGGGAGAGAGCAGCCTAGACAGGCCCCTGGTGGCAAATTGAGGTTCCACCTTTTCTGGGATCTGTGGCCCAGCATGTGAGGCCTGAGGCAGGCAGGAAGGAGGCGGGCAGGGCTGAGCCAGAGGTGAAGCTCGTCCCTGGAAGGGACGGAGTAGGTGGGGCAGGAGGTGGCCAAGTTTTACAGACCTCTGAAAAACCTGGGGAAAGAGCATGGGTGTGCCCAGGCAGCCTTCGGGTGCAGTGCCTCCTTGCCTGTAATGGGCGCCTCTAGGGCAAGCAGGCTCAGGTGCTGGGCAGTAGATGGCCCCTTCCCAACCTTCCCTCCCATCTCCTCGGTCCCCTCGCTCTCAGGCACCTACCCAGGGCCCTTGCTGGGATCGGGGCAAGACCAAGTAGACCTCAGCCCCACCTCGAGTGAGACTTGAGGAAGAACTTCAAGGGGAAGCAGAGGAGATGACAGTGGGATGGACTGTGGGGAGGTCAGTTGTAAACAGGGCAGCTGCACTTTTGTCCCAGGCCTTCCAAAGTCCAGTCTGTAAGCTGCATCTTCCGGAAGGCCCACCCTGTGGCCTTGAGGGCTCCTTGGCTGCAGGGATCTCTTTGCTGACCAGTGACCCCCTCCCCCCGCCCAAGCCCGGTGGCTTGCAGGGTGGTATGGGGGCTGCCTGGGTCCCTGCCCATCTTGGAACTGATTAAGGTGAGAGGGGGGTGGAAGGCCACCCAGGTGCCCCTGCCTGCTGCTTGACCTTGGCAAGCCCTTGGCCCCTTGGTTTCTCCATCTGCTGTTGGGCATGACCTCAGCACCAGGGGCCTGGCAGGCATTTGTGAAGAGCCGGAGATAGGCGGGTGGGAGCCAGGGCTGTGTGCCTGGCCGCCCTTTCCCCCAACCCCATCAGGCCGGGCTGGCCGCCCACTTCTGTTCACCATGGAGCTGGGTTTCCCTGGGGACCAGTGGACTGACCCAGCCCCGCCCCCTCAGCCCCTCCTGGCCACAGCTCACACTGGGAGGAGGGGTGGAGGCTGGGCTGCCTCCTGGACCCCTGCCCCCCTCGGCCTGCCTTCCAGAACCTGGGCTGGGAGCAAGAAGCAGTGGCTGCCCTTGGAGGAGGTGGGTATTCAGGGGCTGCCTGCCAGGGTAGGGGCAGGGGCCAGGGAGAACTAAATGTCACCCTCATGGTAGGAAGGAGAAACCTGAGGACCAAGAGGGCTCTAAGCTGCCCAAGGTTAACTGGGGTTTGACCCCAGGCATGGTGGCCTCCTGGGATTATGGAGTGTTTCACAGATCCCAGGCTTCGGGATTTTGAGTGGGCAGCAGAAATCAGGGAGGACTTCCTGGACAAGGCAGCTGTGGGGCTCAACCTAAAAGGGTGACTGAGGTTGGGGCGGAGGGTCGCCCCTAGCAGTAGGCACAACCTTTGCAGAGGTGGGAGCGGGGAGTGAGGGTGCTGAGCCTGGAGGGCCTCAAAGGGGAGGTGCCCTCCTGGGTCCTCTTATTCCTCTGGAATCCAGCTCTGCTACATGCAATGGTTACCCGTTCAAATGTGGACCTCTTCCAGAAGTTCCCTGCTCCGCCATCTGTCTGTGTCTCTCTGTGTCTCTACACACACCCCCTATCAAAGCCCAGTCCCCATAGATGCCCTGTGTCTCTCCTGCAGGTCCTGGAGGCAGCTCTAGCTGGGATGGTGGCTCCAGCATCTCTAAGGGCCGTGGGGGGTCCAGCCCCACTAGGGGCACTCTAGGCCTCCCACAGCCCAACACCTGTGCCCCTGCCCTCTGCCCATCCACGGGCCACTCGCCATGGGCGGCTGCTTCTCCAAGCCCAAGCCAGGTACCTCCTCTCTTCTTGCCTCCACCCTCCCTCCTCCTCCCTCCTCCCTCCTCCTGCTACCTTCCTCCTCCTCCTCCCCCTCCCCCTCTGCCAGCGAAGTAGGTCAGGCTGGGCTGGGTGGCAGCTGGCTGCGGCTCCGAATGTTAATGCTGTGCAGGCAGGAGGGGGTAGGGGGCCTGGAGCCCTTTTCCTGGCTCCTCTCCAGTGGGCCCCCCTCTTTATTTGGGGCTTTGGGTGCTGGTCGTGGGAATAGCAGCTGAATCTTTCTCAGAAAGGGGAGGGGAGGGTTTCTCCTGCTGCAGAGTGGGGGAGGGGAGCTGTGTCCCCTAGGGCTGGGGAAGGGGGGCTCCGGGGCCACCCTCAGCCACTGTGTGACCCACGGCACATAACTTACCTCTCTGAGCCTCAGTTTTCCTTCCTACAAAGTGAGCCTGACTTCTCAAAGTTGCTGTGAGGGTGCAGTGGACAGGTCCCGGCCCTCTTCACTTCTTCAGACCCCCTGTGTGACCTTGGGCCACCTCCTTAGCCTCTCTGGGCACACTTCCTCATTTGTATAGGCAAGGCCCACCCTGCCTGGCCCAAGCAGTTCCAGCTGGGCTGGGGTATTCCTGGCACTGGGGGAGGCCTGGGTCCACTGTCCATGGAGACCCTTGTCCAGCCCCTACTCTCACTCCTCACTACACTTAGGAAGGCAAGGGTGTGCAGGCATGTCACAGATGGAGGAACCGAGGCTGACAGAAGCGTCTCTAGGGCCCAGTCAGTGCCCGCCCTCCCTCCCGTCCAGGCCACCCTGCCCTGGCCAGCTCGCCCCGGCTCCCCTTACCTGATACCCTTTGGCTCCATTACCTTGGAACGCATGAGCCTTTTTTCCTTTTCCTGGGTCTGAGGGGGAACTTGGGGACAAGAGGAGACTTGGATACCCCACCAGGCTGAGGGACCCCCCTGCACCTGCCCCAGGAAATAGGTCTCCTTCCCTGACACCCAGCCCTGGGCCTGATCTCACCGCCCTCCCTGCCTCGATGTATGACTTGGGCATACATAATTGTCCACTGTCTTGACCTCAGCTTTCCTCCATCAGAAGTGGGCAGGAAGATGCCAGCTGGCCTGGTAGTGGGCTCCTGTAGGACTGCTGGGCTGGCAGCAGGCCCTGGGCAGAAGATGCCACCTGCAGCTTCTTTTAAAGGCTCCTAAAGTGCTGGCCTGCCTGGGACCCCTGGTGCCAGGTCTCCTGGTCCAGGGGTGGCCACTCTTACCACCCCAGAGGCAATGCCAAGAACTTGGGCTCTTAAGTCCAACTCCAGCCTTGCCACTTTGCTGTGTGGCCTTGGTCAGGTGACTTCACCTCTCTGAGCCCCTATGTTCTTACGTGTAAAATGGGGCTGTTGTGCTTAGCACAGGGCCTGCCACACAGGAGGCACTTGCAGAACGTCATTATCCCCTCTTTAGGGGGCTGGGCTCCCTGCCGCCAGGACTCCTCTGTGTGGCTGTGGCAGGAGGGCAGGAGCTCAGGCCCCAAGTGCCCGTGTTGGGCAGGTCAGGGGTGAGGTTCAGGGAATTTCGGGGTCTGGGAGTGAGAGCATTCAGCCATGAGGTTCAAGGGGGTCAGGAGGGGCCGCAGGGAGGCTAGAATAAGCAGAAGAGTTTTGTGTAAATTCTTCACTTTGTACTTGCTCAACTCTGGCTGGGTGTGCATTAGCACATGCTTCCTGAGCTCCCTCTGTACTCCCCATGGCTCCAGTGGCTGTGTTCCTTATAGGAAGTGTTCTAGGCCAGACCTTGCTAAGCTCAGAACTAGAAGGAAGTACACCTCTCTTGGCATCTGGTCATCTGCCTTTTCTTAGCCTACAAGTGCTACCTAACAGCTTTCCCTCTTCTCCATGGCTGCCAGGAAGCTCAGAGCTAACCAATAAAACACCACTACCCAACTTTGTCTATTGAGTTTCTACTCTGAGTTACATGTATCATCTCCTTCCACATTCACTATTGCCAAAGAGGTAGGCACTGTTCTCTCCATTTTGTAATGAAGGCATCTGCCCGAAGGCGCTAAGTCAGGGGCTGGTGGTCATGTGGGCAGCTGGGAATCATGGAGCTAGGGCTGATCTGGCTCTGTGGGTGAACAAAGATCCCCTTCCCTGGCTGCCTTTCTGCCACTGCTCCTGACTTAGTGGCTTCCCATTAGACTGCATCAGCAAGTGCCTTGGAGCCTTCTGGAAGGAGGTGGCGGATGAAAACAGCCTGGCTTGGTTGTTATCTGGGCCCCTGCCAAGCTGTTCCTGTGAGCTCCCTCTCCACATCTCACATAGCTGGTGTCAGCTGAATCTGAAGTATTTTTCTTTTTAATTCTTCTAAAAACATTCTAACACCATTACATAAAGTGTGGAAAATGGAGGAACAAACCTACTCTCCTCATAAGCCCCCTACCTGACACAGCGGATTCACGTGGTGGTGTGCTCTCCCGCCCTTCCTGCCCCCGCCATGCCTGGGCTGGGGCTGGGGTCCTTTGGGTGAGGGGGTAGGGTCTTCCTCCCCCCACACAACCCGCTGGGGTCCCATGCCAGGCCAAGGTGGGGACCAGCCAGCGAGATGAGGGACATGCAGGGGCTGGGCAGCCAGGGGAGGTGACACCTGAGCTGCGTCTAGGTGGGTGGACGGGAGCCAAGGCCGGAGAGGTGACTCCGGCGCTTTCTTTCTGAGGGTCAGGTCTGAGGTGGAGGGGGGAGATGGGAAGTCGGTAGAGGCCCCTCCTGCCCCCACCTGGGCCCACGCTGTGCCCGGGGCTTAGCTTCCATCGCTCAGCTGCCCCCCCTGCAGCCGCAGCCCAGGAGGCAGGATTATCGCTGCAAAAAATTCTGTTTATTGTTCCTTTCTAATTAGAAAAATACCCCAGGCACACTGTAGGGAATTTGGAAAATGTGGAAAAGAATAAAAAGGAAATGACAATCTTTGTCTAACTCCCCCTACAGTAGGTCCCATGTGGGAGAGGGGTCTTCTCTGTGGAGGCTGGGGGGCCCGTGCCCCCTCTTGGTGGCCCACATGCATCTCCCCCACCCCCCACCGTGGGGTTCACCCCCAGGGCCCCAGACCCCTGCACACGGAGACACTGACAAACCAGCACCTGGTAAATGAGGAAGGATTCTCAAAGTGGTGAGAATAGCTATTTTAAGAAGTTGAAATTACGTTGTGTACACTTTTATTTTTAATTTTGAAAACAATTTCAAATCTATGGGAAAGTTGCAAGCATAAAACAACGAACCCTCCACATCCCGTCTCCCAGATTCCCCAGCCGGGGACGGGGCTGCCGCAGTTGTGGAAGCCCTGATGGCACTTGAGTCAGACCCTAAACGTGCTCCTGACCCAGCAGGGTCAGGGATGCGTCGTCGTCCCCCGGGGACTGTGCCCTGGGAGTCAGAGCGAGACTCGGGGCACCTGGGTTCTTTCCTTCACAGAGATTCCTGGAGAAAGGGCCATTTCAGAGTCAAAGGAGCTTTGCTTTGTGCTGCCTCACTGATTTTGTTATTGAAAAAGAGAACATGCAGAAATTAATTCAAGCCCACCCCACCAACCCCTGCCGTCCCTGCTCTGCTTCTTGCCTGGTTCAAGGCTCTTTGCCGGTGGTGCAGATGGCTTTCTAGAGAGGTCAGGGTGCAGGGGAGAACCCGTGCTCAGAGGCGCCGGCCCACCCAGAGCTTGTGGGGCAGGCAAGGAGGTGGGCCGGGCTGGGGGCTCACCAAGCCACCTTGCCTGCCTGCAGTGGAGCTCAAGATCGAGGTGGTGCTGCCTGAGAAGGAGCGGGGCAAGGAGGAGCTGTCGGCCAGCGGGAAGGGCAGCCCCCGGGCCTACCAAGGCAATGGCACAGCCCGCCACTTCCACACTGAGGAGCGCCTGCCTGCCCCTCACCCCTACGCGGGCACTCAGGACTGCGTGGAGGCCGCCGTCTGCCATGTCAAGGACCTAGAGAATGGCCAGTGGGTGCTGGGTCTGGGAGGGGGGCCAGAGAGCGCCAGGTGGGAGGGCAAGGTGCAGGCCATGGTGGGGGCTGGCAGGGTGGCCCATAAGGGGCCCATGGCCAGCTCCTGTCCTGGCCATTTGTGGCTTCTGCTGGTCTGGGCCTGCTCCCCAGAAGGCTGGGCTCTAGGAGGAGGTGCTGGCAGGAGGGGTGCCTGGTGTGTGGCCTGACCTCTGAGTGCAGCCCCTCCCTAGGATGCGGGAAGTGGAGCTGGGCTGGGGGAAGGTATTGCTGGTGAAGGAGAATGGGGAGTTCCACGCCCTGGGCCACAAGTGTCCACACTATGGTGCGCCCCTGGTGAAAGGTGAGCTGTCCTGGTGAGCTGTCCTAGTGCGCGGGAGGTGGGGCGGGACCTCCATGCGGGGGGTTGGCCATCACAAGGGGGCTCTCTACCCCAGCTCCACCGGGCCCCAGTTCAGCTCGGACCCTTCCGGACCTCCAGGCCCTGCTCTATTAATGGAGCCTCCTGGGCTGTGGGGAAGGTGCTGGGACATGGGGATCCTTGGAGACGGCTCTGCCTAGTGGCCCCAACCTCACACTGCCTCCTCCCAGGTGTGCTGTCCCGGGGCCGGGTACGCTGCCCGTGGCATGGCGCCTGCTTCAACATCAGCACTGGGGACCTGGAGGACTTCCCTGGCCTGGACAGTCTGCACAAGTTCCAGGTGGGGCCGGGTGAGCAGTGGGGTGGGAGCCTAGAGGTCAGGGGCTGGAGCACCCCAAAGCCTGGTCCTGATTAACTCAGCCCTTGCAGGTGAAGATTGAGAAGGAGAAGGTGTACGTCTGGGCCAGCAAGCAGGTGAGTGGCTGACTGGGGCTCAGGCAAAAGGGAGAGGCAAGGAGGGCGTCTGGGCCCAGGAAACAGCATGTGCAAAGCCCCTTTCGTGGGACAGAGCCTGATGTGTGTGGCTGGGAGGCAGAGTGCAGGGCTGCGTGATGGGAATGGGGTGGATGGAGCAGCAGGACCTGGCCTGTTGGGATGATGGCGTAGGAAGCATGGCGATGACTCCAGCTCCCAGCTGCCCCCTACTCTGCGGCCAACCCCAGGCCTTGCAGCTGCAGCGAAGGACCAAGGTGATGGCCAAGTGCATCTCTCCAAGCGCTGGCCACAGCGGCAGCACCAACGTGCTCATTGTGGGCGCAGGTTGGTGGCAGGGTCATGAGGGGCAGGGTGGGGTGGGGGAGGAGGGGTCTCTGACCCACCGCCCCCCCTCAGGTGCAGCCGGCCTGGTGTGTGCGGAGACGCTGCGGCAGGAGGGCTTCTCAGACAGGATCGTCCTGTGCACCTTGGACCGGCACCTCCCCTACGACCGGCCCAAGCTCAGCAAGGTGGGGCCAGTGGGGGCTGGGCAGGGCCCACAACCCTACCCCTCTGAGTCCCTGTTAAGCCCACTGGGAGCCTTGCTTGTCTCCCCTTGGGGGTGTGGCCAGCTGCCCTCTTCGCTCATGCCAGGCCCACCAGTTGTCCCCCAGAAAGATATGGATTTGTTGAATTCTGTCCTGCAGCCCACATGTGACCCAGGGCTGGCCCTACCCTCCCTGGGCCCCAGGGCCTCTGTTGCAAAGTGGAACAGTGGCTGTCTGGCCCTCTCTCAAGTTGGCTGTATCCTGCAGTCCCTGGATGCACAGCCTGAGCAGCTGGCCCTAAGGCCCAAGGAGTTCTTCCGAGCATATGGCATTGAGGTGCTCACCGAGGCCCAGGTACGGGGCCGAGGCTGGGGAACAGGCCTGGGGAAGGCTTCATGGGAACCGTGAAGGGAGTGAAGCATGGGGCCCCTGAAGGTGTGGAGAGGGCTCGGCCCTCCTGGCCCCGCTGCCCAGGCCCCGGGGGTGCTGCAGGCCGGGGAGGTGGCACTCGAGCTTCTTCCTGGCAGGGTCTGGACACATGTGGAGCCCCAGGGTGTGGGGACACAGACTATCTGCTCCAGCCTGGGGTGGGAGAGCCTGGTGGGCCTTGGGAGTGAAAGGAGGGTTTTGAATGGAAGGTGATGTTTGAAGCTTAAAGAGGGAAGAGGAGCTCCAGGAGAGAGAGGGAGGAGGACCCCGATGGCAGGAACCGCCCCTGAGGAGCTGCTCAGAGGGTCCTGCTGGGCTCCGGGCATATTGCAGGACCTGGGAGTGGGGGGCCACACTCTGCCTTGCGGGGGTTGCAGGTGGTCACAGTGGATGTGCGAAACAAGAAAGTCGTCTTCAAGGATGGCTTCAAGCTGGAGTACAACAAGCTGCTGCTGGCACCAGGGAGCAGGTGGGAGGGTGTCTCCCCCCATCCCCTGCTGGACATCAGTTAGGGCACCAGCCAGGATGGGAGGGCTCAGGGTACCAGGAGCTCCTCACTGACACTGGCCACATCTCAGCCCGAAGACCCTGAGCTGCAAAGGCAAAGAGGTGGAGAACGTGTTCACTATCCGGACACCTGAGGACGCCAATCGCGTGGTGAGGCTGGCCCGGGGCCGCAACGCGGTGGTCGTGGGAGCCGGCTTTCTGGGTGAGCAGCTGGGGGTGATGGGAGTGGTTGTCAGGCTGTCATGGCCGGTCCTGCGGTAGTGCTGGCCTTGGGAGGTGCAAGGTGCCAGCCTGCCACCCATTGCCCTGGCCCCAGGGATGGAGGTGGCCGCCTATCTGACTGAGAAGGCCCACTCAGTGTCCGTGGTGGAGCTGGAGGAGACGCCCTTCAGAAGGTTCCTGGGGGAGCGTGTCGGTCGTGCCCTCATGAAGGTGAGCCCACCCCAGCACTCAGCCCTTCAGAACCCTGGGTGCCCAGCTCAGCCCCCACGGGGCTCTCACCCACTGCCCACCCGCCCACCTGCCCTGACAGATGTTTGAGAACAACCGGGTCAAGTTCTACATGCAGACGGAGGTGTCGGAGCTGCGGGCCCAGGAGGGAAAGGTGGGCCCTTCTCCCTGCCCCCTGCTCCTTTCTGTTCCTGCTCACCTGTGCCTGGGAGCTGGGCCTGCCTGCTCACCCACCCACTCCCCACAGCTGAAGGAGGTCGTGCTGAAGAGCAGCAAGGTTGTGCGGGCCGACGTCTGCGTGGTGGGCATTGGTGAGTGGGTGAGGAGGCAGGCGAGAATGAGCAGAACTACACACACGTGCTTGAGTGACGTTGGGCCAGTTCCCTCCCCTCCCTGAGCCTGAGTTTCCACATCTATAATGGGGACCCCAACCATACCACTTTACAGGGCTGTTGGGGAATATGCGTGCCAGGCTTAGCCTGGGCCTGGCATGGAGGATGCTCCCAGTAACCGCTGGCCACTAATACTCAACTCCATGGCCTGCCCTACGCAGGCTGCAGGACACAAGCCTCTAACTGGTCCCTGCTCCCGTTGAGGTGCCAGTTTGGGGAGGGACAAAGCTGGGAGGTGGCAGCACAGGGGCTGGGGAGGCGTGGCATGCTGACCCCCACCAGGAGGCTTCATGGAGCACTTCTCAGAGGAGGTGATACGTGAGGCCTAAGGGGAGACATCGGGGTCTATGGGGGTCCAGGCAGAGGGTACAGGACGCATGAAGCCACAGGGCGGGCAGCCGGTTAGACGATCAGTCTGGGGCTGGATTGTGGTGTGTGAAGGGTGTGGGTCATGGAGAGCAATGAGGCAGAAGGGAGGGACCAGGGAGTGGACACAGTGGCCCCTGTCCTGTCAGGCGCGGTGCCCGCCACGGGCTTCCTGAGGCAGAGCGGCATCAGTCTGGATTCCCGAGGCTTCATCCCTGTCAACAAGGTGGAGCTGGGTGGGCTGGGCAGGTTGCTGGGCTGGGGGTGGTGGGAGGTCCAGGTCAGGGCCCCCGTCCCACCCACGGAGCCCTGGGCCCTCTCCCCACAGATGATGCAGACCAACATCCCAGGCGTGTTTGCGGCTGGTGATGCTGTCACCTTCCCCCTGGCCTGGAGGAACAATCGGAAAGTGAATATCCCACACTGGCAGATGGCTCATGCACAGGGTACGGCCAGCCCCACGGAAGGGTGGTAGGTGGGAGGCTGTCCCAGGGTCTCAGCCTCCCCCAGGCCCACCCCTCAGTTGCTGGCCTTGGGTCCTGGTCGCTGGGTTAGCCATTCAAGGCTCTGTGGTAGCCTATCTGGCCAGCCTCACCCAGGTGATCAAGCCAGCTCACAGAGCATGCCCTGTGGCCCATCTCCAGAGACCTCCCTCCAGTCCCTCTGGACACCCCAGCCAGCCAGCCACAGCTCCCCACCCCAGTTGTCCTTCCACCAGCCTCTCTTTTCCTCATGTCTTCAAAGACACACGTTCCGCAGAATTCTCCACCAACCTGTGCAGTCACCCAGGGAGAAAGGGATTTAGTGGGACATGGGCCAGCTCCCCATTCAGTGCCTCTGTCTCCCCTGGGCCGTTGGACTGGCTCTGTGAAGGCAGTTGCCTCAGGCAAGCCCCTAGGAGGCGGCCATCTGGGCCTGGAAATTCAGACTCAGCAGGACTGTTGTGTTCTCTGAGGAATAGCATTCCCCCCACATTTGGTGGTTACCGTGCCTCTGAAGCCTCACTTGACTGCACACCTGGGCTGCTAAGCTGCAGGTGCCAGCAGGGTAGCTGCCTCACAGGGAGGACCACCAGGCCCCCTGCACCTCCTCCCCTTCCCTCTGCCTTCACATTATCTGGGCATCTGCTGCCTGAAGCACCACTCCTGGTCCAATTTCTTTCAGGTCCTAGGTCTAAAGTTGGTGCTAGGTTTAAAGAACCAAAGGCCACTCGTCAGCCAGGCGTAGTTCAGGTTTAACTGGGAGGGTCCAGGGGACTCTTACAGACATCCAACTACCTGGGTCCAGTGGGGCCTCACATGAACTGGGAAGCCACCCCCACTATTCTCTGGGTCCATGGGTGTGGCTGTCCTCTCTGCTTCTCTGGGCTCTTGTGCCCCATTCTCCTGTCTCCCTCTTCAGACCTGATGTGTCTGATTAGTTGTCTGTGTGCACAGCTGAAATGGCTGGCTAGCCCCACAACCCCAGGAAGCAGACCTTCCAGACCAGGACACTTCTTTCAAATTCTCCAGAGAAGCAATCTAAGCGGCTAGCTTCGACCCAGGTGTCCCCCTCCGCACCCATCAACTGCAACCCATGGTGGGCAGTGGGCTGCGAGATGATGCCCTTCTTGACCTCTAGGGAGGCGAGGAGGAATCCCCACATCTCAGGGTCCCCAGAGAGCCCTGGCAGGCGGTGTAGGGGCGGTGAGGGCTAGGGTCGGGGCTCTCACGACCCTGGGTCCCTCAGGGCGGGTGGCGGCCCAGAACATGCTGGCGCAGGAGGCGGAGATCAGTACCGTGCCCTACCTGTGGACCGCCATGTTCGGCAAGAGCCTGCGCTACGCAGGTAACAGGCGCCTCGGCCCGGGGCGGGGCCAAGGTGCCAGCGGAGTGCGGGGCTACGAGCATCCTAGGGGCGGGGCCGAGAGAGCTATAGGAAGGAGCGAAGAACTCGCTGGGGGCGGGACCGGGACCACCTAAAAGGACAAAGGGAGCGGGGCCTGGAGAGGGTGCGGGGGGCAGTTCGGAGGGCACAGGGCATTGGCCCGGTGGAGCTTCACCCCCTCCGCCGGGCTCACGTGGGCGCCGCCCGCCGGTCGGCCCACAGGGTACGGAGAAGGCTTCGACGACGTCATCATCCAGGGGGATCTGGAGGAGCTGAAGTTCGTGGCTTTTTACACCAAGTGAGAGCAACGGGGCGGAGCAGGGGCGCGAAGCAGCAGGAGCCCGGTCAGGAGGGGGAACTCACCCCAGAGAAGCTCTGCTCCAGAGGGGGCTTCCCAGGGAGCTGGCCGAATGGCAGGGGGCGGCAGCTAGGCGGGAGCAGGCCGAGGAAAGGTGAGGGGGCGGGGCATTTACCTTCAGGACAGCTCTCTGAGGCGGGGCTGACACCCCACTTTTACACTGAGGAAAGTCACACAGATAGACAGTGATGATCCCAGGACGGAGCCCAGCCCGGAGCCCCACTGAGGAGGAAGGGTGGAGCCTCCCTGGGGTCCTGCAGGAGCCGGAAGCCCATGCTGGGCCAAGCGGTAAAGAGCCCAGGAGGGAGGGCTGGGTGCGCAGGACATTCCTGTCGTCTTCGGTAACATGCCGCCCCGGGCCCCAGGTGGACAGGAGTGCGTCAGGCTCTTCAAGAAGGGGGCCTGCTGCTGGGCAGTCCTCCGGCTCAGCCGCCCTCTCCCTGCAGAGGTGACGAGGTGATCGCTGTGGCCAGCATGAACTATGATCCCATCGTGTCCAAGGTGGCTGAGGTGCTGGCCTCAGGCCGCGCCATCCGGAAGCGAGAGGTGGAGTGAGTGTGGGCATCAGAGGCCTTGGCCGGGGGTGGGGTCTCTTGAGGGACTGGCTCAAGCTGCCTCTGGCAACCAGCTGCCCCCACAGCCCTCCAGAGCCCTTCCCCCACTCTTGGGTCCCACAGCCTGAGGCTCCCAAGGCTATGGGGCCCTGTGGGGCAAAGATTGTGGTTTGGGAGTGGGCTGGTTATATGTGCTTCTGGGGGATAGACAGGACAGGGGCCGTGTCCCAGGGCAGGGCCATGCTGTGGGGAGGGGTCAAAGCCCACTGCTGGGGCAATCACTGGACCTGGGATACCTGACTGCACGTGGTTGTGTTGAGTCTGGCAGAAGCTTGGTGGGGAAACGCAGCTAGAGATGCCCCTGGGGCCACCCTGCACAGAGATGTGGGGTGGTTATTCAGGGTCTGGGGGACACTGAACGCCAGCCGTTACCCTCATCCTGGTGTGGTGGCAATGAGAGCTCTGCCTACAGAGAGCCCCCAGGGACTGGGAAAGCCTGGAGGCCACAGGACAGGGGTAGGCCTCAGGCTGGACACAATGGAGAACCAAGAGGGGACATGATGAATGACATGGTCTCTCCTTGGCCTTCTCTCTCTCTCTCGCCTTCGAAAAGGCTGTTTCTGCTGCACAGCAAGTACGTGTGTCCTGTCCTTCCTGTTGACCGTTCTGAGTTTTCCCCACCTCAGCCCAGAGCCTGCCCCTGATGGTCTTCCCTCCTCTCCCCAAGTACACATCCCTCCTGGGCACCAGGGCCTGACACACAGCAGGTCCCTGCTGTCCTCAAGGGCCAGCTGCTCATGGTGCCGAGTGGGAAGCCTGCTCTCTTCTGCCCTGACTCTTCCTCCCCTCATTCCTGCAGGACCGGCGATATGTCTTGGCTCACAGGGAAAGGATCCTGAGCTTGCATGCAGCAGACTTGGGCAGGCACGCTGGGGCACCAGGGACAGAGGCCAAGCCTTGGGGGCAGGTGCCAACCTCCAATTTCCCAGGATCCCCCACGCGAGAACCTGAGTCCTCCCAGTGCTTGCCTTGGGCTGCCTGGCTCACCTCCAGAGAGGCCTTGGCTGCCTCCAGATGCTCACCACCCAAGGCCTCAGCTGCCACCAAGGGCTGGCCATGGAGGCAGGACAGGCCCTGCCTCTTCTCCTGCTATTGGGACTGGTCCCCTGTAGGGGCCCTGCAACACATCAGACATTATCTTAAAATTAAAACGCACACATTCGCAGATCTGTGTGACTTCCACTGTAACTGGGCAAACACTCGTGAAGGGGAGACAGGCACAGCCACAGAATGCTCCATGCCACACCAAGAAGTCTGGCCTGTGAGCGCCCAGCGGAGGTAGCCCTGATTCTTTGCCCCTCCCGGCCTCCCGCCTCCCCCGACTCCGGTTAGGAAAGGCTTTTGAAGGAAGGGCACTCCAGGTAGAGGGGACAGCACATGCCAAGGGCTGGAGACAAGAAGTGCTTCTTCAGAGGTCAGAGGCAACTCCCGCTTGGCAGTTTGGGGGCATTCGCCCACTTAGGGCTGTAGAGGCTGGGTCCTGAGACAGACCCCATGCTTCTCAGGGCAGCCAGAGCTTCCGGAATCCCCATTTCTCAGGTAAAGAAGCTGAGGCTCTGCTATTAAGTAGCAATGACAATCCAGAGCTTCTGCGCCACTCTACCTCCCAGCCAATAGGAATGCCGAGGGGAGACGCTGGGGGCCCGAACTGAGGGCGCAAGCAGGAAGGGGAGAGCTAGGCTCCCTGGTCGGCCGCTGAGAGCCCGGAACCCTCCACCTGGGATCCCGGGAGCGGCGGACCATCAAGGCCGGAGCCACATGCAGACAGGGCATGCTGGGAACTGTGGCCGATCTCCGGGCAGCGTGGGCCTGGCAAGCACCGGGGAAGCGCAGTCGGGACAGGGCTGGGGACCGGACCCTCATACTTAGCAGGAAACGCTTCCCAGAAAGTTACGCGCCAGCCACACAGTCCAGACGCAGGCACCGCCCAGATCCGCGGCGTTACGAGGAGCGCTAGGATTGCTGGGAAGTGTGGGCCGGCTACAGTGGGGCGCGGGCCGGAAGTGTTGCGCCATCGGCACGAGGCTTGCCGGGAAATGTAGTCCTTCGGGGCGCCCCGGGGCGGTGGCCGTACGTCCCGCGGACCCGGTGGCCGATCGGGCGTGGACCCGAGATGGCTGGGCCGGGCGGCTCGGGGGGCCCGATCGGGGCCGGGGCCCTGGCAGGCGGCGCGCGGTCCAAAGTAGCCCCGAGCGTGGACTTTGACCATAGCTGCTCGGACAGTGTCGAGTACCTGACGCTCAACTTTGGGCCCTTCGAGACAGTGCATCGCTGGCGGCGCCTCCCGCCCTGCGACGAGTTCGTGGGGGCCCGGTACGGGGGGCTTTAGGGGACCTTGGGGGCGAGGGGCTTGTCTGAGGGGGTCCCATGGCGGGGTCCAGGGGCGAAGCTGGGGCGTGATGCCCCAGAACGGGATCTGGTAAAGGGCGGGGGGAGTGGTGGTGTCCAGGACGGTGTCCAGGGCAGGGTGGGGGTTCTGAGGGAGTCTCGGAGTGGGGTGGCCCGGGGCAGGGTACTAGAGTTAAGTTGTGTTTGTGGGTCTCGAGCTGGGGTCCCAGGTGCTCTGCAGTGTGGTGCAGAGTCCAGAGCATCCCAGGGCAGTGTCAGGGCTCCCCATATGCAGGGTCCTTTGGGTACTGGTGGAATTTAGGGGTCTCTGTCAATCTTGACAGTTGAGAGATATTGTCTCACTTCTGTGGCAGCCCCGGTGGTGCTTAGTCTCATTCCTTGGGTGCCCCCAAGAAGGTCCTGGCCTCACTGCCGCCCACCCCCTCCTTTCTTTCCAGGCGCAGCAAGCACACAGTGGTGGCCTATAAAGATGCCATCTATGTATTTGGTGGAGACAATGGGTGAGTGAGTCTGAACATCGCGGTGTTTGGACCAGGGAGGGAGAAGCACGGTGCTTCAGACTGGGTCTCTTTAGCTCTGCTGCTATCTTTCCAGATGTTAGCTAAGCACTCAGCCTGTTTCCCCATCCGTGAGGTTCCCCACACTCAGGGCCCTTAGCACAGCACCGAGTGGGTATCACATGCCCAGGAGACAGAAGCGTCCCGCTGGTTCTGAGTGAGTGGACACAGCCTTGAAAGAAAAACAGCTGCCCTGGCTGCCACCCCTGCCAGGTGCACTCCCTTCCCTGCACTTCTCTCTGGGCCCATCCACGTGCTCACATGGCAGCCGAGAGCTGATGGAGGACACAGTTTTATTTATTTACTGTGTTTTTCACTTTTTGTAAGAGTTTTCCCACGTTGCTATAAATTCCTGGCAAATAACTTTCCTGGCAATGATCCAATCTTCTGTTGGTGGGCACACCTCCATGCCATGAATTGTTCCCAATTCAGTTGTGGCTGGTTTTCTTTGGTGAAAGGTAATGGCCAAGATGACCCCTTGGTTTCTGCAGCCACTTCCTTCTCCTGGCATGTTTCTCTGTGACCCATCCCCCAGGAGCTGGACTCACCCAGAGCGAAAGAGCTGTCTTAGGGTGGGCTGGGCCATGTCAAGTCCTGGGTGCAGGCACAGCAGGCATGCTTGTTCTGGACCAGGAGAGAGGGGTCTTGTCTGGTCAGAGAAGCTTTCCTGGAGGGGTTGATGACCTGGAAGATGAGTGGGAGTGAGCCAGGCAAAGAGGAAGAGTGTGCCAAGCTGAGGGATCAGTGTGGTCAACGGCCTGGAGGTGAGAGTGTGCAGAACAGCACTGGGTCTGGAGTCTGGGCAGGACTCCTCTCCCTCATTCTTTGTTGATGTGTCCAGAAAAGGCCAGGGGTGCCCAGCAAGGCTTGGGGAGGATTGCAGGCCTGCTGGATGTGGTGCTGAAGCTTGGTCTTCTGGATAGACAGGGTTCAGGGCTGGCAGCTTGATGGCATGAACTGCACCCTGGTCTCCTCCTCTGTATATGGGGGTGGCCACATGCCTGCTTTTCCAAGGGTCAGTGAGCACAAGGCCATGAGGGGCTCAGGACAGAGGTTTCCTTGTGCTGAGGGTGCAGTGCTTGCACATGACCGATCCTGCCTCCGAGTCCTGTCCCTGCCTCTCAACCACACGACCTGGCCTGAAGCCCAGGAAGAGCTGGCTTCTGATTGCTGCTCCAGCCTTGGTCCTGCAGGACTCCCTGGGGGAGCTGACTTGGGGCTGGTGGGGTACACAGGGCCCCATGAGGACCTGCAGACTGGACAGAACGATCTCTTTGGGCATGGCCTGTGGCTTCCAGCCTGTCTCCCCCTTGGTCTCTTTCCCTAGGAGCAGCTAGTTGAAAATGCGAGTTGGAGCATGTTCCTCCTCGGCTCGTAACCCTGAGATGTCTCTCCACCTGCCTCTGAGTAAAAGCCCAAGCCCTCTTGGCAGTCTCTGTGTCCTCACTGCTCCTCTGCCCTCATCCCACACTGCACCGGGCCACACCGCTGCCTTGCTGTGTTCTGATTGGACCAAGCATCCTCCTCTTCAGGCCCTTGCACTGACTGTTCCCTCCTTCCCACCCTTCCTGCCCCTCTTCTGAATCCCCTGAGTGAGGCCTTCCCCGACCACCTGGACCAACTGGACCGACTGGCGGCCCTCCCCTCCCCTTCTGCACCTCTTACAGGCTCCGTTCGTCCCCAGAGCACACAGATGTTTATTATCTGTCTTCTCCGCCAGGGCGGGACCTATATGCCAGCACCCAGAGAATTCAATAAATGTTTGTCACACGAAGGAATGAAATAAGGGAGAGGCATTTGCCTGCAGATGTTTACTGCAATCCCCCAAACTAGAACAGGCCTGGTGTGCAGCCCAGGGCAGTGGGTGGGAACATCCCCGGGAGTGTTCTGTAGCAGGTAGAGTTTGCTACAATGTGAGACTAAGAAACAGGATAGAAATTTGTCTCACTCTAGTTGCAACTTTGTAAAGACTGACTAGGTAGAAAGAAAGATGGCCTCCTTCAGCCGGAAGCAGGAAGGACAAATGGGAGGGGGCTGGACTTGGGGTTACACCCCTGCTTCCTTTTGATCACCCAGGCTGGCTCTGTAAATGGAGGTGGAGAGCACGTTTACCTGGTGCAGACATAGCAAGGCAGGGCAGAGGGCACCCGGTGCAGGCCTGGCCTGGCATCGCGTGCAGGGGGTGCCGGGCTCCTGCTGGGTTGATGCCCTTCTTCCCTCTGACTGACAAGGGAACATGCAGGTCTTCTTAGGTGGTGCGATTGCTGGTGGATTTGTTTTCCAAATATTGTATCTTTAAAGTAGTTGTTATGCTAGCTTTGTGATAACGAGGTGGCAGGAAGATCAGAGAGAAGGGAGCGGGCCTCCCCTGAGATGTGGGCGCGCATCTGCATGGTGGCGCTGCCTCGCCTCAGAGAGGGCACTGAGACGTGTGAGTGGGACTGCAAGTGAGGATTCTGGAGCCTCGGGGGAGCTGTGAGCCCTCAAGTCAGTCACTGGGTGGCTGGGATCCTGCTTTGGCCCTGACCCCAGGCAGGCTGGTCCCACCTTTGTAGCAGCCTAAGTGCCTGCACCAGCCAGGGAGCTTCCTTTGTGGTCACCTCTCTGGTCCCTCAGGCATCAGCTGGTTGCCTGGACCTGGCGAAGTCCCTCAAAACAGCCCCGCCCCGCCCCCTGGGCTGCAGTGTCCATCTCCTGGGTCCTGGCTGGGCAACGCCCTCCAGAGCAGGCGGGGACTGAAGCCACTTCTCCCTGGCTGTCTTTCAGGAAGACGATGCTCAACGACCTCCTGCGGTTTGACGTGAAGGACTGCTCCTGGTGCAGGTGGGTGGCCTCCCGAGCTCCAGGTCCCCTCTCTTTCTCCTAGGACATGGTAGCACTGTGCTGGGCCCTCATTGCCTGTGGAGTCGTGCTCATCATGGAAAGCTAGAGAGAAGCTTCAAGAAGCATGACAGCGCCTCAGGGATGTCATGCCCGTAGCTGCCCTTAGTGTTTCCCTCTCTCCTGGGTTTCTTTTCTAGTCCAAGACTGAGATTGATTGTTCTGAATCCTGTTAATTAAGGGGATCTGTTTGATCCAGTTGCAGGTCCTCAAATTCTGCCTCAAGAGAGCCCTTCAGTCACCACGCCTGTCTCTTGGGCCAGGGGCTGGTGTGGGAGTCAACATGGGGGCTATCGGTGGGTGGGTCCTTCCAGGATCAACTCTGTTGCTGCAGGGTGCTGCCCTCCTTCCTGCCCTGTGGGGCCCATCCTCAGCCAGTGGGTCTTGGCTTTCCTCCCACAGATGGCCTTCCCCAGCTGTGTGGCCTTGGGCAAGACACCTGCCCTCTCTGAGCACTGCATATTTGTGCCCACCTGCCCCTGCTGGGGAACAGCTTATAGCCGAGGGGGAGAAGTGGATCCTCGGATGAGGAGATGCTGGACCTCCTCCTGAGCTCTGCCATCTGCTCGTGCAGGAGCACAGACCTGCTGAGCCACTCGAGTGCCACGCTCCATGCAGGAGCTCTGCACGCCGCCCTCTGGTCCTCAGCAGCCCTCTGGGGTGGGGTCTCACCGCCCCCTTTGATGGAGGAGGACGTCCAGGCCCAGGACTCACAGCTGCTGAACCTGGCACACCTGGGCAACATCACTCCAGGGTGCCCACCCTCTGCCCAGGAGACCCGGGTGGAGCTGGGATTGCTGCAGAAATTGATACATTGTTTCTCTTGCACTTGACTTTAAAATATGGTGCACAGTTACAGATTAATTTGCAGGGTCCCTCTGAAGGCTTTACAATTCTTTGTTAAAAATTCTTAAGTGTAAAACTCTGAAAAGGAGCAGCCCCAGGAAAGCTGTATAACTAGGCTTTGAATTCAATAAATAAAATATGTTGCAGAATACATACTATGGAATACAGTGCAGCTGTGAGAATGTGGGTATAGATGATTCTAGAGTAGCATGAAGACCTATTCACATTCTACAGGTCAGCTGAAAACGCAGATTACAAAATACCCACCACATGATTCCATTAACAAAAATTACTCAGAGGCATAAATATGCATAGCAGAGATGTAGGGGGAGACCTCAAGGTGTGAGCAGTGGTTTCCGGCAAAGGGATTATACAAAGTTTTAGGGTGGTTTTTGTTTTTTCCTTATTGGCAATTTTTTTTAATGTTTCTATAATGAAACAATTATTACCTTCAAAATGCAAAATTAACAGGAAGTGTGGGAGTGGCAGGGGCTGCCCATGTGGCGTGGACCACACAGCTGGCTCCTGCTGACCTCACTCCCCTGCACCCCCAGGGCCTTCACCACCGGGACCCCACCGGCCCCGCGCTACCACCACTCGGCCGTCGTCCACGGGAGCAGCATGTTCGTCTTTGGTGAGCGCCTCTCACGTCCGGCCCACAGCTCCGCGGCCCTGCCCACCAGCATTGGGCGTGCTGCCCGCCCTCAGCTTCTGCTGCCGGAGTCCTCGGAGTTCTTATGCTGGGTCGGGGCCTCTCCTGTGGGCCCCTTTCCCTAACAGTTCTGATCTCCTGGGATTGGAACTGTCTGCTCTGTGACTGGGCCGGAAGGTAGCTCCCCCACCCTCACCCTCCACTGGGAGCAGGGAATGGGGTTCTGCTCTTCCCTGTGTCCCCAGAGCCTAGCACAGAGGGAGGCGTGCAGGAGGTGCTCCCCAAAGTTTGGAGGGGGAGTCCTGGAAAACATTTTAAATGGGCCAGATTCTGCCCCACCTCCTGAGGTTTGAAGACTCTGAAATGCTGCCTTTGGGTGTGACAGTTTTTCACTCTCTTTACCCAGGGGGCTACACCGGGGACATTTATTCCAATTCTAACTTGAAGAATAAAAATGACCTCTTTGAATACAAGTTTGCAACTGGCCAGTGGACGGAGTGGAAAATTGAAGGCCGGTGAGAGACTTTGCTGAAACTTTTGGGGTTGTCCTGATGGCCCCTACTCTGGGTCCTGGGTGGCAGCAGGCCTGGGATCTGGCCCCTGTAGCGTTAGGGGTGAAGAGCCCAAGGCTCAGAGGCCTTGGGGGTACACAGTGGCGGGGAGCTGGGTGTTGGTGCTAACTTCCGCTGCTCCCATCCATGGCCTCCTCCGAGCTCTCTGATGCCCTCCTTTAGGAGGTAGAAGGGACTTGGGCGTCTTGCTGATGGGCGCTTCACTGGGGCTGTATTGCGCGCACCCCCTTTGATACTCTGGTGGTAGCTGGGAGCAGGCTCTGTGCCCTGTGGACGTCTGAATTCCTCATCCAGCTGCCCTGTGCCTCGTGAGCTCAGCCTCTGGTGCTGCCGCTTATTCCCAGTGCCCCGGCTGGAGTCCCCAGAGCCGCAGTGTCAGCAGATGTGGGCATGACAGCCCTGGGGCCCTGGTGGGATCTGCAGGGCTGTGGCCCCTGCACTGGCTTCATGGGGCTGTGAGGCTGGGTCTATGCTGGGCGGTCTCACTCCCCACCCCCTCTTCACACTCCAGGTTGCCAGTTGCTAGGTCGGCCCATGGCGCCACGGTATACAGTGACAAGCTGTGGATCTTTGCTGGCTATGATGGCAATGCCAGGTAGGTGGTGGCCTGCCTGTGCACCCCACCTCTGAGCGCCCCGTGAGTGTACTGAGGCACAGAGTGGGCCTTCCTGGTGTGGGAAGGCTCAGGCTGGGGGTTTCTCAGGAGGGAGAGTGTGTGGACGGGGTGGCAGGAAGAGGGTGATGGGCACTGAGCGGAGCCCTGCCCGACCCCCACAGGGGTCAGCAGGACCAGCACCCTGAGGCGCCTCCTGTGGCGTCTGAGGAGGTGGCAAGCCTGACAGATATCTTGAGGGTGTGCTGGTCCCCGCAGCAGTGGGGCCATAGCCGGGTGTCATCAGAGCCAGGGTGGGGGAAGTGGACCCTTGAATTGCTGGGGTGGGAATACTTGGCCCACAGTGAGTGACCCTGAGGGCTGAGTGGGCAGGTGGGTGGCAGCGGCAGGGCTCAGCCTGGTCCCTGACCCCGAGGAGGGCCACACAGGGTTCTTGCCTGCGGCACAGGCATTTTCCTGCTTATTGTAGAAAATTGGCTTCGCTCTATTTTTCTGATTACAAAAGTAGCGTGTGCTCATTCCCCAAAATGTCAGCATTACAGAAACTCCAGCTGGTGTGGTGTTGATGGTGGTTTCTGGGAGCGTCGCCTCTCTGAGGTCCTCTCCTAGCCCCCGGGGTCAGCCGAGGGAGTGGCTGAGCCTCCCACACTGCCCCAGATGTCGTGAATGAGGCCACTCGTTCCTGTCTGGCTGGCTGGGGCTCTGGCACGGCAGGGATTCCATCCAGCTCCCCCTCAATAGAAGCCCCCACCTCATGGCTGCTCTGTAGTCCCCTGGGCAGAGTCCCACAAGATGTGTTCTTCCCTGGAGCCATCCCTCCTGGCCAGGCCCAGGTGCACCCTGACAGCCAGCCCCAGCTGTGGCAATCCTGATCCCTCTGTTCTAATGCAGGTTGAATGACATGTGGACCATTGGCCTGCAGGACCGGGAACTCACGTGCTGGGAGGAGGTGAGGGGTGTGGGTGCTGGGGTGGGGCGGGGGAGGCAGGGAGGTGAGGGCTTGGGGGGCTGGGGTGGGCCCAGGGAGGTAAGGGGTGCAGGGGGGTGGGGGAGGGGAGGCAGGGAGGTGAGGGGTGCGGGGGGTCTGAGGTGGGGCTGGGGAGGTGAAGGTGCAGGGAGGCCCTGGGGGTGCATGGGCCGACACGGAGGTAACTTTCTGCCCCTTGCCAAAGCCCAGCCTTGACCTTGGTCTGGCTGTACCCACTGACCTCCCACCCCAGCCCCACGACCAGTTCCAGCGGCAGTTATCCAGTGACTGAGGGCCCTGCCTCGGTTGGCAGGGCGTCCCAGGGGCTGATGCAGTGTGGGTATAATCCACCCTTATTTGAACGCAACAAGGTGTCCTGCTGGCTGCTGTTTCTGGGTGATCTGACTGACTGCACCACTGTCTTTCTCCTTGGGGTTTCTTTCCCCTGTAATGAGGATTTTGGCCTCAGCTGTTCTAAATTGGGCCCATTTAGGTGGGCAAGGTGGTGCTTTAAGCTGTTTTGCAAAATTAATCTGTGAACCTTCTTTCATGGAAGTTTCAAGAATTCAAGTAGTCCCACTTGAGCAGTGTGGGCCGCGGCCGGGTGGGCTGGTCCAGGGACGCCCCGGCTGAGCCATCCTCCCCATGCCAGGTGGCCCAGAGTGGCGAGATCCCGCCATCCTGCTGCAACTTCCCCGTGGCTGTGTGCCGGGACAAGATGTTTGTGTTCTCGGGGCAGAGCGGAGCCAAGATAACCAACAACCTCTTCCAGTTTGAATTCAAGGATAAGACGTGAGTGCCCTGGTGGTGGGGCCCACGGTCGGCACCCACACCTGCATCTGGAGGTGTTCTCGCAAGCTCCCGCGGACTGCAGGCCACCTCCCTGTGGCAGTGGCAATGCATAGGCACCTCGTGAGCCCAGCATGTGCGGGGCACGGGGGTCAGCATGGAGCCAGATGGCATGGCTCTGCCTGGCCAGGATCTGGGTGGGTTCTTGGGCTGACTTAGCAAAGAGAGGATTTGCCGGGAAGCCCTTGGAGGTAGAGAGCACTGCAGGAGTGGCATCGGGGGGTGGGGTCCCAGCAGCTCCTGGGGTGGGGACTTGGCTTTGGGGATCATCCCACACGTTCGGGTGGTGGACATGCCCCAGAGAGTGGTCCGATGCCACCCCTCCTGCCTTGCCACTGCTGCCTGCTCCATGGCTGGAGAGACAGGAGCGGGCTCGGGCAGGACCCCGTGGTGGGCTGCGTAGAGCCAGGAGAGCTGCTGCCAGGGCAAAGTGGGGGGTGTGATGCTGGGCACACGTGCTGCAGGCCCTCCCTTGGCCCAGATTGGTCTCCCCAGGGGCCACTGGGGAGGGGGCCTCCGAGCCCAGGTGGAGGCTGGGGGGAGCAGGAGCCACGCCCCGGCCCTGGCTCACTGTCCTGTGCCCCCAGGTGGACACGGATCCCCACTGAGCACCTGCTCCGGGGCTCCCCGCCGCCTCCTCAGCGGCGCTACGGGCACACTATGGTAGCCTTTGACCGCCACCTCTACGTGTTTGGAGGCGCAGCCGACAACACGCTGCCCAATGAGCTGCACTGCTATGACGTGGACTTCCAGACCTGGGAGGTTGTCCAGCCCAGCTCGGACAGCGAGGTGAGTGCTGCCAGGCCAAAGACAGCGGGCAGAGCCCACCTCCTCCCCAGCTCCTTACAGCCTCAGAGGGCTCCCAGGGCTTCAGACAGCAGCAGGAGGCAGGCCAGGATTCCCGGGCCCTCGGCCCTGGATGCCTGCCCTGGCCTGACCCTGGGCTGGGGGCCCCTCTGGCCTGTTCTCCACCTTGCAGCCTGCGAGCGTTTAGCATTCCACTTCCCATGATGTCTGCACCCGGCTGCCTGCCTTGATGCTGGTTCCCCTCCCAGCCTGGCTGCAAGTGCTCTCGTGCTGTGGCTCTTCCCCCTCCCACACTTGTCCCCACAGCACCCAGGCAGGGATGGCAGGAGGTCTTTGGTGCCTGCCCCACCCTTGTTGACTGATCCCACCCCTGCATATCTCTCCTCGCCAGGTCGGCGGGGCTGAGGTGCCAGAGCGAGCGTCTACTTCCGAGGAGGTGCCCACCCTGGCCTCCGAGGAGCGGGGTGGCTTCAAGAAGTCCCGAGATGTGTTCGGCTTGGACTTTGGCACCACCACAGCCAAGCAGCCCGCCCCGCCAGCCTCAGAGGTGAGGGCTGGTACCCTCGTTACTGCTCCATCACAGCCTGAAGCCGGACCTGTGATCAGCTCCTCTCACAGAAGGGGAACTGAGGGTCATAGAAGTACTTGTAGGGGTCATACAGCGAGTGAGGCAAGGGCCAGGAACCCATGCCCTGCTGGCTGGGCCACGTTGGTGCAGCATGCGAAACCAGGCACCTGCTCTGTCCACTCTGTGGGCCCATAGAGGCCCGTCCTGTCCACCACCCACACAGGCCCCGCCTCCCACCCTGTGCTGCACCTGGGGGCCTGCTCTCTGGCCTCTCCTTCAAGGCCATTGGTGCCACATCCTTGTCCACAGCCTGGCCAGCTCCAGGCCTCAGCCAGCCCTGCTGCTGGAGACCCCCCCGCCCCCCCTCACCTCCCGACTTGTCCTGCTCTCCACCCAGCTGCCCAGCGGAAGGCTCTTCCATGCAGCTGCTGTGATCTCGGATGCCATGTATATCTTCGGGGGCACTGTGGACAACAACATCCGCAGCGGGGAGATGTACAGGTTCCAGGTGGGGCTCCCAGCCTGCAGGGGAGGCGCTACCTCACAGCTGACTCTGCAGTGGGGCCAGCCAGGCTGCATGGCCCCGGGGACAGAAACTACAGCCCAGTGGGTGGGGTGGGGCTTGTCCCAGAGCAGCCAGAGCTGGGGCTGCGCCCGGTGGGACAGTGGCCTTTCTGAGGAATCTGGCAGCTGGGATGGGGCCTCTAGGCTGAGGGCAGTCTGAGAAGCCTCAGTGCAGGGGGGCGTGGGAGCTCACAGCAGAGCCAGCGGAGGCTGAGCTGAGCTCAGGAAGGCAGCCTGGAGCATCTGTGCCCTGGAGGGGGCAGGGGGCAGAGCCGGCCGACAGTGGCTTCCCTCGGCAACACGGGTCTCCTCCTGCAGTTCTCCTGTTACCCCAAGTGCACGCTGCATGAGGACTATGGGCGGCTGTGGGAGAGCCGCCAGTTCTGCGACGTGGAGTTCGTGCTGGGTGAGGTGGGTGCCCTGCCCATGTCCGGCCCTGCCTGTGAGCTGCCGAGTGGGTGCTTTGCACCCAGAGGCACGGCTGGCCACCCACTGGTGCCTGGAGCCCTCGGGCCCCGCCCTGGCTGGCTGGGCCTTGGCCCCCTTGGGTGAGGGTCCTGTGCCCTCCACCAAGGCATCGTTCTTACCACAGAAGGAGGAGTGTGTGCAGGGCCATGTGGCCATTGTCACAGCACGGAGCCGCTGGCTCCGCAGGAAGATCGTGCAGGCGCGGGAGCGGCTGGCCCAGGTGAGGTGTCTGCCCCACCCCACACCACCCCACCCCACCCCACCTCACCCCACCTCACATCCATGGGGTGCCCTTGAACTCCCCTTCCTCTCGCCACAGAAGCTGGAAGAGGAGGCAGCCCCAGCTCCCAGGGAGGCCCCTGGTGCAGCTGTGGGTGGGGCCCGGCCGCCCCTGCTGCGCGTGGCCATCCGCGAGGCCGAGGCCCGGCCCTTTGAGGTGCTCATGCAGTTCCTCTACACTGACAAGATCAAATACCCTCGGAAAGGTCTGCCTGGCGGGGGATGGAGCGGGAATTTGGTGGGGCGTGGGCAGCCCTGCCTAGCAGGTGGGCAGTCTGAGGCTCAGAGGTTGCAGCCACTCCTGACCACCCGCGTGTGGCTAAGCCGCTTCTTGGGACCCCCAAGGCCTTATTCTGGCCTGACAGCCCCAACCCATCCTCATCCATGGAGGGAGCCCAGGGCCCTATCCTCCCTGCCCCGTCCTCTGGTCCCTCACCCCACACTCCCCAGGCTGAGGGAGCTCTTGGCGCAGGGCACGTGGAGGACGTGCTGCTCATCATGGACGTGTACAAGTTGGCACTCAGCTTCCAGCTGTGCCGCCTGGAGCAGCTGTGCCGGCAGTACATTGAGGCCTCCGTCGACCTGCAGAACGTGCTGGTTGTGTGTGAGAGCGCCGCCAGGCTGCAGCTGGGCCAGCTCAAGGTGCGGGGCAGGGGTGGCACGGCAGCCCACCCTGCCCACCGCTGCAAGCCCCTTGCCCAGCCTGTTGCCTTGTCCCGGGCCGAGGCCTGACCCCACCTGCCTGCCCCGGCCTGTCTGTCCCAGGAGCACTGCTTGAACTTCGTGGTGAAGGAGTCCCACTTCAACCAGGTGATCATGATGAAGGAGTTCGAGCGCCTCTCGTCCCCACTGATTGTGGAGATCGTGCGTCGGAAGCAGCAGCCGCCCCCCCGCAGCCCCTCGGATCAGCCCGTGGACATCGGTAGGAGCCCCAGTCCCCTTCCCTGAGGGTGGCTGGGCAGGGCACCGTCTTTCTGGGGTGGAGACTTGGGAACCATGGAAGCACCTGCCAGGCCCTCAGGGAGGGGCTGGATGTCGGGGGACCGCAGAGCGCTCCCCACCGGGCGCAGGGGCAGGGGCAGACAGGGAGGCAGTTCAGACTCAGTCAAAGCAAGAAATCCGATGCACCGGGCTTTCCACAGCAGGCGGTGTGCCCAAGGGCGGGGACTCTCCTGAGCCTGCTCCTGGACGTGGCCACAGGCACCTCTCTGCTCTGACTGGGATGGCAGGGCTGAGGGCTTCTGAAGTGAGCAACTGCTCAGGGTCGTGGTGATTAGACGCTGAGCTCTTTCAGGCCCACCCTCTGTCTGGGGCCTAGCGAGGGGAGAGCACAGCCTGCAGACTTCAGACGCTCCCAATGCCTCTCTGTCCCCGCTCAGCCAGGGAAGGGACATCATAGATTCCTTCATCCCTTGACTCTCCTTGGGGCCTGTACTACCCCTGGTCACTGGCTCCAGGTGACACATGGTGGGCGCATAGGGCGTGCCAGGCCCAGGAGGGCTCAGTGGGCTGAGTTTGGGAAAAGATCAGACTGTGGGGGCCATGTTTAGGGCTGAGGGGAGAAGAGAACAGAGCCTGGCTGTGCCTCAAGGGCCAGACTGAGGCCTCTGGCCTGGGGGAGGTTCATTCAGGGCGGCAACACGGACAAATGTGCAGGAGGTGGTGGCTGTGGGGTCCCGAGTCAGAAGCTGGCCTCTGGCTCAGGGTCTGGTGGGAAGTGGGAGGTGCCTGCTCAGGTCCTTCTGCCTCCCCCCAGGAACGTCTCTGATCCAGGACATGAAGGCATACCTGGAGGGGGCCGGTGCGGAGTTTTGTGACATCACGCTGCTGCTGGATGGGCACCCACGGCCGGCCCACAAGGCCATCCTGGCTGCCCGCTCCAGGTGGGTGGGGGTAAGGCTGCTGGGCAGGGCGGGCCCTGGTGCTGGCTGCGTCCACTGAGAGCCTGGTCTCTGCTGCCCTCTGTCTGCAGCTACTTTGAGGCCATGTTCCGCTCCTTCATGCCTGAGGATGGGCAGGTGAACATCTCCATCGGGGAGATGGTGCCCAGCAGGCAGGCCTTCGAGTCCATGCTGCGTTACATCTACTATGGCGAGGTCAACATGCCGCCCGAGGACTCGCTGCATCCGTGCCTCCGAGGCTGCTCCTGGGTCACCACTGGTGGTCCCAGTGCCCACCGTGGGCGGCTTTGGGACCCAGCTGGCTGGTCCTGGCTGGGCGGTTTCCTGAGGGTTTCCTGGTGCCAGTGCTCTCCCAGGGTCCCCTGCAGCAGGTGGATGGTTAGCACGCTGGGGTTTGTAGCCAGGAGGGATAGGTGGGTTCTTGACCCTCGCGACTGCCCAGAGGAAGGGGTCAGTCGTTGCTGTGTGTGCCGGGTGAGGGACTCCTGGGGGATTCCTGGTCACGTCACTTCAGTGGGGTCTGAATGTGGGGTGTGAGAGGTCCTGCAGGCCTCTGTGAGGCTGGGACTGTTCTGCAAATGTGCTTGTGGGTATTTTCCTGGGGAGAGAGTCCTGTGGTTTTCGCTGGATCTTGAATGGGGCCTTTGACCCCTAAGTCGTTCAGAATCCATGTAGAGAGCAAATCTGTCCCACCTGGATTGCCGCCCTGGTCCCTGACTCCCCATGGACCCCATGCCTGTCCCTCATATGGGGTGGGTCCCCCTGGTTTGAGCAAGCAGAGGAGGCAGCCAGGGTCTCAGGTTTTCTCCATCCCCTGTGAGCAGGGGGTCCAGTCGCACCGGCCTGGGGAGGAGGGCAGGGCAGCAGGAGCGTGGGCTTCTTTGAGTGGCAGCTCCTTAACCAGCCCCCAGCTACCTGTTCGCGGCCCCCTACTACTACGGCTTCTACAATAACCGGCTGCAGGCGTACTGCAAGCAGAACCTGGAGATGAACGTGACGGTGCAGAATGTGCTGCAGGTAGCTCGCCTGGTGCCCGCGGGCCTCCTGGCACCTGGGTGGGTTGGTGAGAGCTGGGGCGGCACCTCAGGAAACCTGCTGTTCCAGATCCTGGAGGCAGCTGACAAGACGCAGGCGCTGGACATGAAGCGGCACTGCCTGCACATCATCGTGCACCAGTTCACCAAGGTCAGGGCCCTCCTGCCCAGTGCTCGCTGCCCATGCTCGTCTTCAGGACCCACTCCCCCTTGGAAGGATGGCCAGGTTGTGGGGTGTGCTTGCAATCTGGCCATCTTCTGCAGCAGTGGGCCCTGGGGATAACAAACAGAGCCACCCACCCACTGGCCACTCCTCGCCCTATCCTCAGAGCCAGCCTGCTCCTTGAGCTGGTGGAGCCCCCAGAAAACTCCGCAGCCTACCCGGGCCGTCACGAGAATCCGGTTCCAGCCTGTTTTGGCCTTTTGGGTGTCTCCACAGGTCTCCAAGCTACCCACGCTGCGCTCCCTGAGTCAGCAGCTGCTGCTTGACATCATAGACTCCCTGGCCTCCCACATCTCTGACAAGCAGTGCGCAGAGCTGGGTGCCGACATATGAGGGCCCACGTGGTGCTGGCCCACATGCGGAGGATGACCATGCCTGCCTGTTGCAGACTGCACTAGCCACACTCGGCCCTGCTGGCTGAGGGGCAGGGTCCCCAGAGTTTCCGAAGGGAGCTGGGGGAACTTGGGGGGCTCTGAATGTGTCATTTCACTGCTGAGGACACGGGTCCCACAGTGAAGCAGGTTCCCAAGTCAGCACCCTCTGCCGGGGTGGAGGTGTGGGTGGGAAGCCAGGACTCAGGGATGAGGACATGGCAGAAGGCAGGGGTCCTGGCCGGGGCCCAGTGGTGGGGAGAGTTGAGCTCACCAGGGAGCTGGTTTTGGGCCCTCCAAGTGGGAGGCACCTGGCATGGCTATGGATCTGGCCACTGGCTCCTTGCCAAGGCTCCTCTGATGTGGGGGCTGCACAATACCCCCTCAGCCTCATCAAAGGGTGTAAGGGACCCCTCCAGCCACCTGGAGTTTGTGCTTGGGCAACAGTGATGGGCAGATGGAGTCTGGCTCAAGATGAACTTTGGTGTATGAAGAGCACTGAGGTCAGCTCTTAGCCTGTGGGGTCAGCCTCTTTGGACTGGGCCTGGCTTCCAGAGGGACTGTGGGATCCCATTGGCCTGTGTGCACATTGGGGCCCAGTGTGGGCTGGGGGAGAAGTCAGTGGAGATGCCCCTCCAAGTCCCTGCTGTCCCCAAGTATTTATTCTCTGTCACAGACTTGCCTCCATTAAAGCCACAGCAGCGCTCCCTACTACACGTCTCCGGTGTAGTCCCCAGCAGCAAAGTCCTCTGGAAGCCCTCTGCCTTTCCAGAGCTGAGGATGGGCCATGTGGCCCGTCTGCTTGAGATCAGCCAGTCTTGCCCAGTTCTCTATCCATGTGGGCAACTCCCCACCCCACCTGGGGTACCAGTCACAGGGCGGAGGGTGGGGACCTGTGGGAGGAATCCAGGCACACCCCTCCCCTCCTGAGGGGAACCCTGGGGGCCTGGAGTGGGCTCTCTCACAAGGCACTGTAGGCTCCTGCCTGGACTGGGAAGTTGGGGACAGGCTGCTGCATCCTTCCTTGTCCCCCAACAGAAGACCCTATGTGAGTCCACCCAATGCGGAAGGCACTGGTCTGCCTCCTTTCTGGGAACAGAACCCCAGGGACCCTTCAGCCCTGGCTGCCAGGAAGCCACTCGGGGGTAAATGATCTCTCTTCCTGGTCTTAGAGCTCCCTTCCTTCCTCTGGTTGTGCCCCACACAAACGTACCTGTCCCTCCTCAGCCTTTGCTGAAGAGCCCCAGGTGCTGTATGGAGGTGACAGGGAGCCCCAGTGGCAGGTGGACACCCTTAGGCAAGGGGAGCCCATCCATAAAGCCACTAGCAAGCTAGGAAATGGTCCGTTACGAGAAGAGCCTCAGGGAGCCCAGAGGCCTCAGCGAACAACCTGCAAACCCTGCTCTGGGCAGAACTTCGTAACCGTTGGTCACTGGGCTCTCCTCTAGACATAAGATAAGTAAATGGAGTTACACACCAAGGGCCCTGAGAAGCAAATTTCAGGACGTTGTGGGGCAGTGTCCAGGAGTAGAGAAAATTCAGCTGCGCTCTTGGGGCTGTTATGGCCAAGGCCCAGTGGGGAGGCCACGCGTGTGCCTAAACCTCCCCCCACCCTGAGCTGCTCGCCACAATCAAAGATGCAGGGAAGCCACGCATGTGCCTAAATGCGCCCCAACCCTGAGCTGCTCGCCACAATCACAGGCGCAGGGAGGCCTTAGAGATTCTGTCAAGTTGAAGGAAAAAGGGGCTGCTTGCCTCCATGCTTCCCCCACCTCCAGGGACTAGAAAGGTCATCTGTGGGGCCCTCACTAATTGCCAAGCATAGCAGCCCCAGGAGGTCAGAAAGCATTATCCTTGTCCCTGTTTTTCAGATGAGACAGGCCTGGTGGTAGTGGGGGGAGAGGGGGGCCTGCAGCCGGGGCTCAGGCACTGTGCCAGGTTGGCCCACTGCTGGGCGGATGGGGCCTGGGGAGGGAAGTCTGTTGTGTCCCCTCAAAGGAACTGAGTCTGCCTGGGTTTTGAGTGTTTTCAAAGGGGTCAGGTGCCTGGTGCTGCCCCCTGACCTCTCCATACCACCCTGTCCCTCAGAGAAGCCCGGGGGGCGTGGTACTACATGGGAGGGGTGGGCAAGAGCTGGGCTTTCTGCTCTCCACAACTGAGAGCTCGGACTCCAGGGTCTGAGCCCTCCAGGGGCTGCGGTCAGTCCAGGGGAACAAGCCTGGTACCCAGGGCTGGGGTCCTGCCCCCAGATGAGCCAAATAGGAGGGCCTCCTTCTAGAATCCACTTTATTATGGCATCTGCTGGGTCTGATGGATGCAGCTCAGCTCAGGTCCCTCTCCAGGTGGATTCTGAGGCAGGATGGGATGGAGCCCTGATGGGCAGCCCCTCTGTCAGCCCATGGTCCAGCAGCCTCTCACTCAGGCCATACTGCTGCTCAGCTGCATGGCAAAGTCCTGCACATGCTCCTTCAGAGTCTGGCGAGCATCCGCCTGTGCCCGCTTCTCCCGCGCCCGCTCCTGCTGCAGCTTGGTCAGCCGCAGCCGCAGCCGCTGCTCCCGCCGCTTGCAGGCCTGCAGCTGGCGCTGGGCCTTGTCCAGGGCGTCAAGCGCAGCCTCAGCTCGCCGCTTCCAAAGCAGGGCACTGCCCACCTGGTAGCTGTGCTCATTCTGGATGTAGGCTCCAGCAGGCGGCGGGAGGCGCAGCATGTAGGCTGAGGGCGAGACGGGCCGTGGCTCGAGAGGGGATGGCTGCCGCTCTGGCTCCCGCTCCGGCGAGGGCTGGGCACTGCAGCCTGCTTCATCTGCCTGGGCACCCAAGGGCCCCAGGAGGTCTGAGAAGGGGCTGCTGAGGCCGGGCTCCAGTCTCCCAGCGTGTGAGGCAGGCAAAGCAGCAGGGGCTGAGGCCTCTTCCACAGGAAAGCAGGTGACATCAGCAGGTGGAGGTGGAGAAAATGGAGTCGTGGGTCCTCGGCCCTCAGAGCAGCTGTGGGGGAGAGAGAGAGAGACTGATAGGCCAGACTAACTGCTTACCAAACCCCACTTTACCAGCCCACCTGACCATCCCCATCCCAGAACCCACTCCACAGCCTCAGAACCCGATCCAGCAAGGCTGCAGGCAGACACCCTAAAGCCCCATCCCTCAGACTCTGGGTGGAAGGGGGGCATCCCCCAGCCACAGCACATACCGCTTCCTGCATCGCCGGAGCCGGCTGACATCAGGGGGGCCAGGTGGGTAACTGTGCCCCTTGGTCTTGGTTGTCCGGCGCAGCTTGGAGAAAGACTCAAATATCGTGGGAACTGCCCCCTCCTTCAGCCTGTGATACCCACTGTGGGGAAAAAGCAGCCTGCATGGGATGGAGAACAAGCACTGCCACCCTAGCTGACCTGCACGGGCGCGGGGCCAGCAGGTCCCCCAGCACCCTGAGCAGGCTCCCCAGCGCTAGCACTGTGGGAGGGGGTAAGGCACAATGTAAACAATTAGTTGGGGACATGCCAAGTCCGGCAGAGTTACCCCAACCTCTTCCCTGCAGGACTCCTCAAAGTTAAGGTGTGTGGAAAGGCTCCACCAGAACTGGACTGATGAGCCCCCCCCCCAAATTATTTCATTTGTGGACTTGCTGGGAGGAGTGGGGCCCTAAGGAACACCCTCTGGAAAGCTAGTGTTTTTCTCCTGTGACCTAGCACAGTGACCTTGAGCGGGTGGGTCTTACTGTCCTCATCTGGCAGAAGAGGAAACTGAGCTACGGAGTTGGGAAGAGGCAGCCACCCCGGAACCAGGGGTGCTTGTCTGCCCGTCCTGCGCCAGCCGCCCCTGGGACCCCCTCACGGGGCCCTGCAGCTGCCGCTATCAGCCCGCTACTCAGGCCCCACAACCTGTCCCGATGCTGGCTGGCAAGGAGGCTCACCTGATTCCCACCAGCTCAAAGCAGTTCTCCTCGAAGTGTTTGGAGCAGAAGTAGATGTACTCGGACGCCGGGTCCCACAAGCCCTGGCCGCTGGGGTCCAGCCGCTGGCAATTGGCCAGCCACAAGCCTCGCCTTGGATTGTCCTTCTTGGGAAGTCTGCAGAGCCACGAACCCGTGAGCCCCTGGGCAGCGCCGCGCTCGTGCCGCCCGAGCTCCCGGGACAGGACGCGCTGGCCCCATCCATGCTGCCAAGAGACCTCCCCTCCGCCCCACCGGGAAAGCACTGCCCGCCCGGGGGCACAGGCGAGGAAACAGGCATCAAAAGAGAAATCTGCTCAGCGTCAATCAGCAGATAAGAGTCAGAGGGGTCCCAAGGCTGCCGGACCTCCCGCCCTTCCCTTCCTTTCTAGGCTCAACCCACCCTGCTCTGCCCCCTCCATCTTGCTCCACCCACAAACTCAAGGCTCGCCTCAACCAGAAAAAGACGCATGCGCAATCGTGGCTCCATGAGCCGGGAAACACGAGCGCATGCGCACGCGAATCCTCGCGCGCCAGCACGCACGCGCGCTGACCTGTGGAAGGAAATGCCGCGGTTGCGCGTCTCGCGCGTGTCCCGTGTGCAGCAGCCGGCGGCGGAGCAGTGACGCGGCATCTGGGGAGAAGGCGGGAATTTGGTCGCGGGCGGTTGTCCGGGCCCAGAGGGGCCTCCAGCCCCCAGCCGCCGCTCCGCTCCAGGCGGCCGTGGCTTGCTGGGTCTTCCTCGGTCTAATCTTGCCCAAGCCCCGACCCAGCCCGTTCTCCTGTCTCCCGTCAGCGGCACTCACGGTCTCGCCATTGCTGCGCCGCCCAAATCTCGCGAGGTGTGGCGCGCGGCGGAAGTTGGTACCACAGAGACTCGGAAGCGCGAGGCGCTCGCCCGAGGAGCGGGGCGGGGCCGGGTTGCGTGGATACCGGAAGTGGCGGGAGCGGGCTGTCGCCGCGGGGCGCGCGCCGTTCTGGCTGCCGTGGACGCCTGCGCTGAGGTACAGCCTTTGCTTTGTTCATTCGGGGCTAACTCAGCAGCCCAGCACCCGGGAACAGCCCCGCTCGGCGGCGCAGAGCCTCGAGGCACGGGGTTTCGGGGTCCCACGACGAGGAGAAGGGGCGGGACGCGTGGTCAGAAGCACCTGACGAAAACCAGCGCTCGCGGCGTAGTGCGGGAGCGGGGCCTCTGCTGGGGAGGGCGGGCAGGGCCGCTGACTACGCTGGGGCAGCGGGAGGGGCGGTTCGGGCGGAGCTCCGGGCTCTCGTGGAAGCGGGTCGTCCGGGGTTGGGTTCGGGCTGCGGCTGCCCCCCAAGCCCCCACAAGACAAGGTGCAGTCAGCCAGCCCACTACCTAGGAAATGAAGCCAGGTTACTGTTCCATTCTCCAAAGAACATCCAGTATGGGGTGAAGGATTTACGAATGTTTATATTTATAATAATCAAAGCTCTTTTTCCTAATTCCCTCACCCATTTTGAACACCCTTTTGAAGTCTGTTTTCTGGGAGTAATGCAGTAACCAAATAGACATGCTTAGTCTTTTCTGAGACCAAACATGTTTTTTTCCCTAAAAATCCACTTGGAAAAGACAAGTATCTGGACATATCCACATCACCCATATAACAAGAGGCATAATGTATCTTGAATATGCATAGAGGATCGCTTGGGGGACAAACAGCTCTGGGGAAGGGGAAGAGGGCTTTAGCTGTTCAGCCATCTGCATTGTTTTAATATTTTGCCACATATATGCATTTTTATAATGAATTAAACATGGAAGAGACTCCTTGGAAATAGTGTATCCCTGAGCAAATGGTTGTTAAAGAACATATGGTGAAATCACACTCAGACTGACAAAAAGGAACTTAGAGCAATGAGAATTCAACATGGTCCATCTGGGGCTGGACTGTCTCTTCTGCGGACAGGAGGTGACTTCTTGGACTTTCGCACAGATTCCCCTCCCTCCTGAGACAGGAGAGGAAATCCGAGCGAGACACAGGACCTCCCACAGTGCCTTCCAGCCAAGGCTGCTTGGGTGTCCTGACCTTCCACAGGGCGTGGTCACTGAAAGAAAATTCCTCTATTCAGTCAAGAACTTGGTAACTAGAGACAGGGAATGGAAGGTTTCAGCTCTGACCTATAACCCCTGAGGTCTGCAGACGTCCTCTGTAAGATGTAATGAATATTTCCAGATCGGTTGAAACCTGTTGTAGATTTTATTTTACCCTTTTATGTGAGTCACTTTAAATCCGTCAATTTTATGCCCTCAGAGATGATCTGTGTCAAGGTGTCTTAAAATGGGGCTGACGGGGCCAGACAAGCTCAACAACTTGTGTGTAGTCAGAGGCAAGCCATGGCCATTCCAAATGGGAACAAGATGACATATTTCAGCTACTTCTTGTCACTTCCAATCCAGAATGACCCTGCAACTTGGAACTCTCCAAACACCGTAGGAACTCATTGGAGCTTACGAATGCAGAGTTCACAGCTTTGTCTAATGAAGAAAACCAGTTGTGAATGAGGACTTTTAACAAACAAGAGGGCACAAAGTTAAGGAACCCAAGCATGGCAAGGCACTTAGCCTGATGATCACAGTAGGTCTAGAGCCTGACATTCTGTTATTTGGCTTCCAAGGACATGCTGCTTTTCTCTTGGTAGACATTTCATCGTGACACTAAACAGAGTTGGGGGAGCCATCTAATAATTGTCAATGTGATCTTGTGTGTCAGGCAGTGTTCCCAGCTTGGTTTGGAGAAACACCAGTGAACCACCCTTTGCCCCACTGTAAACATTGCATAATGAACTTAAAATTCTGTTTAAGAAACCTAACTGTGGCCTAAGACAGTGACAACAGGTGAGTGAAGTCAAGTAAAGTCTAAAAAACACTATTTTTAACACACAAAATGATACCACAAACCCTGACAAACTCCTTAAGTGAACCGTGGAGGACAGGCCAGACCTGCAGTCAGACTGTCTCTGAATGCTCTCCCTGTCACTTCCTGCTCCTGGGGCTTTCGGATGATAAAAACTGTCTCAGCCTGAGTGTCCAGGTGTATAATAATACTCTCGCGAACATGAGAGTAGTTGTAAGAAATAAGGGTACATAAAGTAGTCGATAAAGAATAAGGCACTTAGCAAATTAATTACTAAACTTTTCCTCCCTGCAGCCTAGTTGCCAGGTGAATTCTCTGAAAGGGGCCGCGTTCCATGGCGAGGTCTGCTGCTTGCCAACAGGTCGGCCCACTCCCCATCACCCAGTCCTACCTTAACTTCAGTCAGGCCCCAATCCACAACTGGATGGTGTGCTTGGTCTTAATGGTGGCGATGGCCGCGTTGACGTCTTTCAGGACCACGTCCCCCCTGTACAACATGCAGCAGGCCATGTACTTGCCATGGTGAGTGTCACACTTGACCACCTGGTTGGCTGGCTCGAAGCAGGCATTGGTGATCCCAGTCACAGACAGCTGCTCATGGTAGGCCCTCTCGGCTGAGATGACCGGGGTGCAGGTGGCCAGGGGGAAGTGATGTGGGGGTACAGGACCAGGTCGGTCTGGAAGTCTGTCAAGCCTACATTCAGGGCCCCATCAAATTGCAGGGAGGCCATGATGGAGGACATGATCTGCCTGATCAGATGATTGTGGTTGGTGCACAGGGGCTGCTTGATGTCCATGTTGTACCAACATATGTCGTAGATGGCTTCATTGTCCACCATGAAGGCACAGTCAGAATGTTCCAGGGTCATGTGGGTGGTCAGGATGGAGTTGGAGGGCTCCACCACAGCCATGGAAACCTGGGGGGCTGGGTAAATGGCAAGTTCGAGCTTGGACCTCTGGCCATAGTCCACCGAGAGGCGCTCCATGAGCAGAGATGCAAACCCACAGCCAGCGCTGCCCCCAGAGCTGTGGAAGATGAGGAAACCCTGCAGCCCTGCGCACAGACCCGCCTGAGAGAAAGCAGAGGATGGAGCCAACGTGGGCAGAAGACACAGTGCAACCTCCAACCAACCCCAGTCACTTCTGTTCCTCTGCAAGATCACGAGATTCACACTCTCCACAGTGAACATGCATGGCACTTAGAGGCAAAGCAGACAGACGGTAAAGATGTATGGATGCACCGCAGCCACACTGGAGGGTAAGACTGTGGACTGGTGATTCTGGCCTCAGTTTTGACAAAATGTCCTTCTGGTCGCAATCCAAGGCCTACCGTCCTGTGCAGGACACCGTCCACAGGAAGCCTTCCCGGTGCTCTTCTCACCAGTTTGCAGGTGGGTCCCGGACCAGGTCGACGATCTCCTTGCCGATGCTGCAATGGCCTCTGGCGTACTTATTGGCTGCGTCTTTCTTCCCGGTGATCAGCTGCTCCGGATGGAAGGGCTGCCTGTGGGTCCCTGTGCACTTCATCTACAAAGAGGACACAGGGGCCACGAGTCTTTAAGGCCTGTTATTAACTCACCAGGGTGGACAGATCGGGACTGTCCCCTTCTACCAAGCACATGCTGTTCCTTGTAGGTCAGCAGCATCGGTGTCTCACAGGAAACGTCTCTCTGTAATACACAGACCACAACTGCACCCAGTGGCTCTAGGAGAGAGGAGTCAACATGCAGGACAAATGCCAGAGTGACCGGTTCCCCTAGAAGGGAGAAGAGCTCTCACACCTGCACACAGGCAACTCTACACATGCGTGTTTCTTCCATCCCCATAGCTACAGCCAAGGGTAGAATTTAAAAATCCCTTACAGGCTAGACAGTCCCCAGCATGACTGTTGCTGGGCAGTCCCATCAGGGCACCCTATGTGGCCTGGGTCTCACAGGCTTCAGGGTGACATTCTGTCATCCCCTGGTGGCCACTGAAAGGTGCTCTCTTTGTAGCTCTCCTTGGAAACTACCGCAGACTTCTAATCTGGAGGAACCCAACGAATGTTCTATACTGACCTTTCTATGTCTAAGATGCAGGTCAAGACTCGTTCCCCAGCCTGAGGGAGCACACAGCACTAAGGAGGGACCAGTGCCCGGGCGCCCTGTAGACAGGGTCTCCACAACCACCTGGCCGGGCCGAGGAGGCCACAAGTGACTCCACCCACAGCCCATCTCAGTGCCGGCCAACCTCACAGCAGGTTTTTCTCAATTAGGAGCCTGAGTCCCACGGACATTTCAGGCACTAACCTTCCAGTGTGTGACCTAACGTGACCATGAGCATACACTTGTACGTCTGTCCCTTTTGCAGGGGGATCCGAAGGAGCACATGGGGGCTTTAGCAAGGCTCTCCCACCCTCCCAGGACAGCCGCCCCGAGTGTCTGTGTACCTACCGACATGGTGGGCTCCAGGTCCACAAACACTGCTCTGGGCACATGCTTGCCAGCCCTAGTCTCGATGAAGAACACATTGAATAAGTTATCTCCACTGCCGATGGTTTTGTCACTTGGCATTTGACCATCAGGTGAATTCCATGATCAAGGCAGTACCATTCCGAGCAGGCATTGCCGATCTGGAGCCCTGCCTGCCCCATGTGGGTAGAGATGCACTCACACTGGGACCCAGAACATAAACATAAGACCCTCGTCTTCAAGGCAATCGTCCCTCTATGGAATGCAGAACATACGTATGTGCTTCAGAGCGTCTACGGTTTTCTCGAACCTTATTTCCCACAAGGCTTATGTGACCATTTTATGTGAAATTGACATGCTCTAACCTATCCTGGTACTAAGTGCCAGAGTCAGCCCAGAACCTGTGTTTGCCACTATAGCAAAGTTAGGTTATTTTACAATGTGGAAGCCATGTAATGTCAACATCAACTCCACATTATGCCTAGTCATGTAATTCTCTGAAGAATACAGCAGTTTTTGATTGTGTCCTACTGAAGGAATTAGGTAAACGGTGATGGAGTCGGGGAAGGAAAGTGGACTAGGACACAGGTCACCATGGCCCAGGCACCAGTGGTC